AATCGTTTTAAATTCCCTCATTACGACAGCATCAAACTCCGTAAGGGATTGGGACTCGATGTCAATTCTAGGTTGTTGACACTTTCTCCGACTGGCGCACGTTACGACATAGGACGACAAAAGTATCAGAAGAGTTGTCACGCCAATGCTAACATGTATCCATGGTTTGTCTAAATATACGAAAAATTTTTTTAAAAAATTTAGTAGCTAGTTATTTGTGGAGGGGGAAACTTTAGAAGCGAAGCTAGTTAATTCTGAGGAAAAAAAATTGTAAGCAAATTTTTTAACTTCAATAATATAAAATACTTACTGAATGTGATTGCAACCAGTTCAACCGTCCTTGTAATGTTCTGGGAGGATGCGGTGAAGGTGTCTACAGTCCAGGTGCTCTGATGTTTGTTCTAAAAAATAAGGTTGCTTGAATTAATTTTAATTCTAAAAAAAAAAAAAAAAAAAAAAAAAAATTACAATTAGTCTATTTACCTGACATGTCTGTCCATTCATCTGAATAGTCGTCCAAGAGTTCCTTAGAATTTCTTCACATTTCACGTTTGAGTGGTGGACAATAAATCTCTCGAGATGCTGAAATTTTAGCAAATTGACATCCCCTCTCAATCTACTGATGATGGCGACTGTTGTAGCCTTAAAGTTCCCCTCTTCAAACTCCTTGAAGTCCCTACAGCGAACTGTCCCTCCATCAATCTGACATTGCGCATTGGCATGCGCCAGCAATACATGTACAAGAATCAACACTAGCATTGTCTTTCCAATTTCAATAAGTTCCAAAGATAGAGTCGAAAATCTCTGCCCATCCCTTTTATAATAAATGATAACCCGTTCAAATAAGGGATGGAATAGATTATTGTTGGATATAAAAAATTACGATATTATCATTATTATCTTTGATTTTAATTAATTAAATTTTGGTGACAGCATTTTTCATACTATATACATCAAATATAGAACTTTTATCTAAATAAATAACTAAAACCTTTAAAAGGAATACTTAACACCCCTTACTATTAAAATGGAACTTCTCCCTGACCATTGGAAGTGTCTATGTAGGTGTAGTGGTGAAAGAGTTTGAAAAGTTCAAATTGGAGACAAAGAGAAAATATAACTGATTTACTAATGCGTTAATTATTAAGAATAATGAAAGTAATAGATATGTAATTTAAATATATTTTAATTTAATAGAGATAAAAAGGTCTTGTTTCGTAAAATTCAATCCTGTCGCCTCTTTCTAAAAGTAGAGTCACCCTGGCGCTAGCGCCTCCTTTGATGCTAGCCGAAAACTGTCCCTCTTCTAGCGGACCAGCTGCACGCGTTTGGGTGTTATGTCATGTGCATATTTGTCTGTCTGGTAGGTTTGATGGGGGTAGTTATACACAGTACATTTTAGGGAGATTAGAACTGAAGATTACAACTAAATTCTCATAATTATATTATCTTTTATTTATCCATTAATAGTAAATAATGACATTATTTAAAACTGACATTGTTTTTATTTCACTTGTCATAATTAGTATCATTATCTGGTTGTCGAGCATTTACATCGGTCATCCTTCAAACCGGACTGTGTCCAAATAAAACCTTAGTGCGTAATTCTACGTTATAAACTTTGGATGATATACACATTTCGATAGAATGCTATAAGAAGTCCCCCCCCCCCTTCCCATTCATGAAGATACACGAGTAAATCAAATCTATTTTAAGACACTTCCAATAGACGGAGAAGTAAAATAGATTTTAAAATCATATTAAAATATAGTAATAGTTTTACTTATCTTTACTTATCAAGTTAATCCCCCCCCCTCCCCAACCATCTCACTTTTGAGAGAAGACATTATCTGAAAGAAAATAAAGGGAAAAAATTTAAATGAAAAAAAAAACCCAGTCTATTTTAAACATATAATATCGTTCATAATTAATCAGTATAAGAATTTACCTGTTGGAGTGCCGCTTCGACAGAGCGGGCACCTGCTGTCCTGCAGCAAACGAAAACATTGCATACAGCATACTAATTGTTTGCACGTATAACATACACAACTGCAGAGTTTTTTTTCACAACACATTCTGCAGGTAAAAGAAGTGAGCGGGAATCGCATATACATATATCCCCACTTCATACTTCCTTTTTTACTTGTTCTTTGGGGATCCATAATAATACGTTCTTATTAATGTGTTGTTGGGTGTATAATGGTAGGTGTTTTTTTTTATATATATAAAAAGCGTTTTTGAATATGTAATTTTAGTTTATTATTACTTCAATTATTTTAAAACCAACGCTAATTCAAATACTACACGGGTAATCATTTTGAGAAGATGTAAAAACATCCTAATCGTTGACTAAGACAACAACTTTATTGAGGTACATATGGATAAGGTGAAAGTCGTGACAATTATAATCATAATATTGTGGGAATTAAATGAGTTTAACAGATTTATCTGTGTATACAATTCGTGTTGATTGATAAATGTCAATTCTTTTTATCCACTGACACTACATGTATCATCTACTATTCAAGTTCCAATCGTCATTGACTTAAGAAATATTTATAACCATCCGGGTTTAATTTCCCATATAACCTAATTATCATCACTATATTCATAATCACACCTAACTATTGCTAATAACCAACCAGGTTTGTTTCCTTCATTACCTCATTTTCATCAATAATTAACATCCGGATAACATCCGTGGGCCTGTTTAGAGCATGATTCACCATAGATATGTGCACCTCAAAAACTTGCACCTCAAAGTAGCATAAAAACGATCACTATATACTACTGATTTTGTTTTGAGTAAGGTGTTAAAGAATTGTACAATAATGCTTTATGTATAATACAAAACGTACTTTCATAGTTTTTATTAGTTAAATACGATCGGGTCTAGAATCGAGGAAAACAAAATGAAAACCTTCTTAGAATGTCTAAAAGACGTGAAGAGTATACTTATCAAAACAAATTTAATTGATCATTCAAATGAATGTCCACTGTAATTAATTTTGTAAAGGGCTCAATTTCAGAATAAATTATTATATCTTGGGTTGTACATAAAATTAATTAAATTAATTAATTACCTAGGAAAATTGTCTTTGGCAATATTTGTTTATATTTTAAAAACATTGTATCAAAGATTATAATCATATCTGTTATTAGGCAGATAATTGTAATTTATTACATTGAAATCTGAACAGTATACCGTTACGACTGTATCTTGCCTTTGGCAAGACGACTGGTTCCTCAGTTGGAGCTACTATAAATACATATGTTTCATTTGTTAAAATAATAAAATTATATATAAAATAAAATTTCTTATTGTACAACTACAAAAGTATTCATACAATTTTACTTCCAATATAAGTATACCTACGCTAAACCTTTCGTGAGAGTAGGATGACGCATATTTAAAATAAAACAGATTTTATTTATTTTATCGAATATTCGAATATATTCGAATACTGTCATTGAATATTCGAATATGAATTATTGACAAAATTGACATCCCTAAAAAATACACATAATTATTAAGCTTAATATTATCGGAATTAATTGCAAGCATGTCCATGTAGAAGGGGAAGGGGGGGTTACATATCTTGTAAGTTGTAAATAAATTTTTAAGCGATTTTTAAACCGCTACTTGGTATCAATGATAACATCCTTTAAAGGGAATATTGACGACTACCCTCGCTCATCTCGAAAATCTTAAGCAGAATTTAATTCTAATGAATCACTTTCGACTTCTTTATCAAAATTTTCCCGAACTTTTTCGTAGACCTCTGACTTTTCCCTTAGTTCTATAACACTCGGAACTCGAGAGTTACACGCTAGGTGTCGTTTTTGCATCACTTCCGTAATTTCTACTCTGACATTTCCAAATCTTGTAGCATTTTTCACGTTTGACGATGAATACTCGGATTATTATGGGATGCCTGGGCAATTAAATAGCACGATTAAAGACAAAAATATCTACCGAAACAAGATATCATGACACATTTCGGTGACATGTATTAGGTAAATGATATTTCGGGCCTGATATCCAAGAGGGGTCCAGTGTAAACAGATGGAAGTGACTTACCTTCTCTATTTTATAATACCGCGGGTATGATTTTTTAGTAAAACGTTAATTCTGCGTTATTTTTTTGGATTTTTCTTATGGAATACATTGTAAATGTGTACTAGAAGAATAATTTATGAAAAAAATACATAAAAATATTTTTTGACCTGTGGGGCATATTGGAGGGGGGGGGGGGTTCCTGTCCACAAGTACCTGTGGCATCCCTAGCTTACCTTTGACTGTCCATTCCGTAAACAATGAACATGTCATTGTATGTGTGATACCTGTCATTTTGTACATTTTAAATTTAATTTTCAAAACAAAGGAAATCATGTTTTAAGTATGAGAAAGGCCTCAAACTGTCCATTCTGTGAGAGAAAGAACTAATCTCGGGCCTACGGCCCTCGATTAGTTCTTTCTCTCACAGAATGGACAGTTTTCGGCCTTTCTCCTTTACAGAAAAAAAAATCTCTGTAATTCATCAAGGTTGACTGATATACACTTACCAAAACCAGCTCATATCTATAAACATGTAGGAAAAAACATTTTTGGAAATCCGAGTTCGCCAGAATGACTGACAGACAGACGGAGAGTAAGCCTAAGACCCCCTAGATTCATCTGTAGAGTAGGTAGTTTAGCTGTTTGTTGTCATTAACGTCTATGGTCCGTTGTGTTGAATTATACATACAGTTTAATGTTACTCTACATTTTGCTTTGAGTTTCTTTAACTTTTTCCATATTCATTACGTTTCATATTCATTGTAAGAAATGTATATATATTCGTTAAGAGTTATAAATATAGAAAGTCCTATCCGGGGCTAATTTATTTCCTAGCTTACCCAGCTAAAACAGCAGGAACTAAGTTTTCCTCATAAAATAGGCGCACCTATATTTTAAATAAATACAAGACATTAATTAAGAATCTCTTTTTTTATTTCAGATTTTCACAAAACCTTGATACAGATAATTGTGTGACAACAAAACGAAACTATGACGGAACTATATCAACTTTGGCAGAACCCTACAATAATGCACTTGTGAACGGTAAAACTAGATATTGTAAGTGTCTAATAATGGTCATCCTGCTTTACTTGTAAACGGTAAAACTAGATATTATAAGTGTTTAATAATGATCATCCAGGTTACGGTAAAACTAGATATTGTACGAGTCTAATAATTGTCACTCAGCTTTACTTGTGAACGGTAAAACTAGATATTGTAAGTGTCTAATAATGGTCATACAGCTTAACTTGTGAACGGTAAAACTAGATATTGTAAGTGTCTTATAATTGTCATCCAGCTTTACATGTGAACGGTAAAACTAGATTTTGTAAGTCTCTATAATGGTCATCCAGCTTCACTTGTGAACGGTAAACTAGATATTGTAAGTGTCTAATATTTGTCATCCTGCTTTACATGTGAATGGTAAAACTAGATATTGTAAGTGTCTAATAATGGTCACCCAACTTTACTTGTGAACGGTTAAACTAGATATTATAAGTGTCTAATAATGGTCATCTAGTTTCACTTGAGAATACTTCTGTTCTTCTAGTCTTCCTTTTTTGTTTTTTACTGAAACCCCAATTTAATATAGTCTAACATGATGCCTTTATTATTTTTCATTGCCGAGTTTTTCTCTACATTGTATATATTGATGCCTTGATTGAATCATAAATAATCTTATGTAATAAAGTCGTCCAGGCTGTAATCTTAATGATATTTTTTAATTTAATTTATCCTAGTTTCTGAGCAATACTCTGAGAGGCAGCGTTTATTGCCATTGGAAGTTTTCAACATCTCGTCCAATACTTATAATAGATTCCGTCTGATAAACTCTGGTATGACAGGCAGCTTTAGAATCTCAATAGACAGCGTAAGTATTTAGTCTCACCAGGGAATAACAATTACATTTAATTTACATTAGATTTTCATTGTGCACTTTATCATCTGTAGTGATCTCTGTCGCAGCATGTTTTCTCCTGTTCTCTGTCCATGGCTTCTGTTCTTTTTCTTTTGTGAACATCCGTACATAACTCTCATAGATTAAATTCAGAAGTTATGGTTCAACAAAAAAAAATTCTATATATATTTATGTTTATCCAAAACTTTATATAGACGAAACAAATCCGACACTTTAAACCATTAATTGTATGCTTTACAGTGCGACTAAATTAAATTGTGTTTAAATTTTTATATTTACATTTCCACATGTTTTCCCTTAAATAACACAATCTAAGCGAGGCGTTTTTAATTCTGTGTATAAACAGGTTCGTCACGTGTCCTTTAATTTATTGTTTAGTCATAAACAATTGACGTAATTTAACAGTGACGTCATACGTGGTAGAAACGTTCAACGGATTCAATTCATACCGTTGAGGTTTGATCATTTTAAGGTTTTGAATTTTTAGTGCATAATTTACATTATGTCAGTCTCTAATGTAAATATAAACTACAGTGTATAAGGTATCATTTTTAACTTTTATCGGGATGTAAATGCGGGTCGGCATGTGATCAAATCTACCATTCGGGCTTTATGGAATTTGATCACACGACCAACCTGCATTTACATCCGAATAAATGTTTTAAAATTATACCTTTTCTTTATCAATGAAGCACAAGCTTTTGCTAATTGCATCGGACGGTGTTGATCTTGTCCCTGTTGAGATAGACTTCCTTATTATCAACCCTGGGGAAACTTATGACGTCATTCTGTACGCCAATTCCATAGCAGGAAACTACTGGATACGAGTAGAAACAACGGTAGTCATGGATGTACATTTTGTGAGTTGTGGTCCTCATTGAGAATATGAAACAAAAAAAAAATTAAGAAAAAATTACGCATATTATAGCAATAATTTACTTATATGTTTATAGAACCATTTCCGTGTATTTACTTTATTTTTTTTTAATCCAAGTGTGTTGCAAACATGAGGTTTAGATCACCTTCATACACAGGGTTATGCTATCATACCAGAAGTATAGATCAGCTTCATACACAGGGTTATGCTATCATACCAGAAGTATAGATCAGCTTCATACACAGGGTTATATCATACCAGAAGTATAGATCAGCTTCATACACAGGGTTATATCATACCAGAAGCATGGATCAGCTTCATACACAGGGTTATATCATACCAGAAGTATAGATCAGCTTCATACGCAGGTGTGTTAAGGAAGCACTAAGATAATCTAACTTGACTAAATCAGTGATACAATATGACGTCATAGTAGGCTAGATGACGTCAATTTTAGAGCACAAGTTTTCTTAATATTGCTTTTTAGAGATATACTTTAACTCCTAAAAATGAATAGAAACTTGCAAATATTAACAAAAATAAATGTTTTTATTTTGTTATGCTGTATCTATCACTTGAATTAAAAACTCCGACCAATGACATCATAACTGTTCAACAAGTAACTTGAGAATTGATCATGTTGTGTAACGAGAATTTGGCTAAGACGGCATGTAAAAAGATACATAAAAGGGGGTTTAGAAGCAAATATCGTGAATATTGAGTGTGATTCATGTGAAGTTAAAGTTTGTTAAACAGGTATGCTAATTGATTTTCATCGATTATATTTTCTATTGAAGACAATCAGCTATTTACGTATCCCAGCCGGCCTTTCCTCTGTCATTCGAGACAACAATAATGCAAAAGAACAACACCAAGCTAGATACTTCAAAACATAAGATTTGTACACATCGAAAGCTTGTATTCTATAATACTTGGAAAGTGCTGCTAGAATCGTTAGGTAAACACGGTTTGAAGAAATATCGCGGGTTATATGTATAAAGAGCAAAACACTGGGTAAGGTTTCATGCGAATATGTGGAATAATTATTTTCCCGACCGGACAGTGGGATTCTAGCAGCACTTTTTAGGCATAAGAAATGTTTTTCAACTATATTATTTTCTCAAAGAAATTATCTAACCCCGGGGTATTGTTGTTCTGTTTACTTTTTTATTAAGGAATATTTTGCTATTAATAGCAGTCACGTGATGACGTTGTGGTGGTGCACTTCTTGGCCGCAGACACTCTGTTGTCTTTATGCCATAGTTAATAATAGTTTACGTTTTATCGGCGACTTTGATAAATTATCAAACTTAATTCTCTTTAAAAAGTCTAAATTTCCTGAAAAACAATGTGTATGCTTCCTTAACATACCCGCGTACACAGGGTTATATCATACCAATGTAAATATTCTATGTAGGAATAAAATGTGTGTAGGGATAAAGTGGTCCAGTTGTTAAATATTAGAAAAATACGAGTTGTTATAGTTGCATATGGAATATAACATTACAATGGTGAAATTCTTTCTTAAAAATTAAATATCTAATCTCTATCGTGTATTTTATCTTAATTGTTATATCTTCTACCTTTTGCAGAATCCAATACAACAAAATGTAAGCTTTGCTCAGCTTCATTATAAAGAAGCAGACGATGAACTTCCCAAATCAGAAGAGAGAAAATGTTCCGTAATAGAGCCCTGTGTAATGGCCAACTGCCAATGGAGGTTTGAGATATAACTATCACTTAATAACTTAATGCAAAAGGATATACCTGGTGAACTACTTTAAACCAGGTCCAGATACCGTCTTTAAGGTTGTTCCAAAAATCTTGTGTAATGTTTGCTCTTTACCATCAGAAAGATATTTTCATAAAATATTCAAATTTAGACTGAATAAGTTTGTTTTAATCTTCATAGGTTACTACTCAATAAGCATGTTACCAGAATGGATAAACATTAACTTGTACATAGATAAACCATAACTTGTACTGAGATGAACATTAACTTTAACATGGATAAACATTGACTTGTGTCGCCCGCGTGGTGCCTACTCTAGAGTCGCGAAGAAAGAAGTTGATCCTTACGTTGCGGGTTCGAATCCCACTGTGGGACGTGGAGACCGGTCCTTCGGATGAGACTGTATAAACCGAGGTCCCGTGTCGCAGTAGGTGCTGGCACGATAAAGATCCCTCACGCTCAATGGCCGTAAGTGCCGAGCTTAGGACAAAATTTGCAGCTCTCCACCGGCAAGTGGTGGCGTCTCCATATGAGTGAAAAATTCTCGAGAGGGACCTTAAACAACAAACAAACAAACAAACAATAACTTGTACATAGATAAACATTAACTTGTACATAGATAAACATTAGCTTGTACATAAACTTGTACATAGATAAACATTAACTTGTACATAGATAAACATTAACTGTACTGAGATAAACATTAATTTGTACTGAGATAAACCATAACTTGTATTGAGATAAACATTAACTTGTACTAAGATGAACATTAACTTGTACTGAGATAAACATTAACTTATACATGGATAAACATTAACTTGTGCATGAATAAACATTAACTTGTACATTCATTTACAGCCCTGATAGTATGGCAAGGATAGAACCATCTGTCAAGTGTCTTTCCATAGCAGACCTTAAGGCGTCATCGATCAGCAGGATGTTAAACCCTGTCTCCATTCCAGATTCTCCAGATGATTTCCAAGAGATTTTTCTCAATTTTCATTTTACGGGTTAATAAGAAATGACAATTCCATGATTTTCTTTATTGATTAAGTAGAATTATGACACCAGGAAAATCTGCATTAAGAAATTTTATTCCAATTTTGTTAAATCTAAAATTGCGGACACTTGCTTTTCAGGGAACGGTGTTAAGCGTGCCCGCCCAGCAGTGAATGCAATCCACTACAAATCTCCACCAACTCCACTTCTGGTATGATGGATTTGATCTGAAATCATAGGATTTTTTTTTATATGAGTTCACAAAGAAGTTGCAACCAGATCTGTGAATATGAATAAACGGAGTCTGTTTCATTTTTTTAAATGATATCTTGCAGTTCAATAATTATTGTGCAAGAGAATAAAAGAATTCGTTTGTCAGTTGAATATCTTGCAAAAGGTTGTAAAATTTGATTTCCTTTTAAGTGTATATTTCTCAACCCTTTTTTTAATTATTATTGTGTTCAATAATGATTAGTAACAAATGTACAAAAAATTTACACAGCCAGATTTAGAAAGCTTTATTTTTGTTGTTTGAAGATTTCTCCAGATATTGTAAAAGACAAGAGTATTGTATGTAACAACGAACACATGGAGAACTGTGGTGAATACTGCCAATGCACTCACGTCGTTAAACTTGAAACCAAGAAAACCACACAACTTGTTCTTATTGCAGAAAGTGAGTACCATCCATCTCAAATATACATTCTAATAAATCCCGAATTGATATCTTTGCATGATTGTCCTATGGGTGTACAATAAAACCGATTACACTTTTTCTCTATTAAACAAATGAAAATCATTTTAAAGCAGATTGATCAGGGAACATGTTGATGATGATTGTCAGATCAACTTATTTTATACCGGAAAATCACTTAATTTTGGAAGGTTGATTGTATATTGTTTTACGTCCCATTCGAGAATCTTTCACTCATATAGAGACGTCACCATATACCGGTGAAGGGCTTCAAATTTTGACCTTTACTCGGCACTCAGGGCCATTGAGCAGTGAGGGATCTTTATCGTGCCAACGCCTGCCGTGATACGGGGCCTCGGTTTTTAAGGTCTCATCCGAAGGACCCGCAACTTTCACTTCAAAGTGCCGAGCGCATGGCGAAGGAACAGTTGCTACCTATTTTTTATCGACTTAGGTCTGTCGCGGCCGAGATTCGAACTCACGACCTCCCGATCACGGAGCGAGCGCTCTACCGACTGAGCTACCGTGAACGGTAATTTTGGAAGGGGGGATTTTTGTTGTATTTTGGTACAAATATATGAACAGAGTCCCAAATAGATGTCCTACACGAAACCTAAAATTTCATATGTATCATAAGTGAACTTTCTTCAACGACAAATTCAAATATCTTATCTCCATAATATCTTCCCAAAAATACATTTTTTTTTATTTTACAGTACTTATTGCACATACAAGGGTCGGTATATCATTTTCGTTTTTAAAATGATTTTAAAGATGGCTTACAGACAGGAACTTCACATCCCGTTCACCTACACGGAAATCGTTTCCAAGTTCTGAAAATTGGTCATGCAGTTTTAAACAAAACAACTGGATTTGTACAAGATGCCAACCAAGACATTCAATTTTCGCAGAACTTCAGCAAAGCAAAATGGCGGGATTCAACCTGGAGGAATGGTAACGTTCCAGATCTGAAGATAGAAAATCCTCCACTCAAGGATACGGTGGTGGTACCAAACAGAGGCTACGTTGTAGTGAGGCTACAAACTGACAACCCAGGTAATTCAAATGAGACGAAATTCATCCTAACTTTGAAAAAATGATATTTCCATTGTCCGACCATGACATAGGGAATAAGGTGAGTGTGATCGGTTGACAGGGGATGCTTACTCCCCCAAGACAGCTGATCCCACCTCTGATGATATTTTAGAAGTCATATTTTGCCGTGCTCCTTATTTATGCTTTTTAAATGGTTTTCTCGGCTTGATTACTGTTCATTATTTTGATCCAGATTTCATTGCAATTCTCGATAGGGACGTTAAACAACATACAAACAAACAAACATATTTCATTGCGATTTAGTTTCAATGTAAACTTGAAACTTTTAATGTAATTGCTTAATAATGAAACATAAATGTATTATAGGATTCTGGCTTCTTCATTGTCACCTTGAAACGCACATGAACATCGGAATGGCTGTAGTTCTACAAGTAGGCGAGCTATATGAAATGCCAGAACTTCCCTCACATTTTCCTAAATGTTCGAACTTCCATTTAGACTCGGTCTCTTTACCTCTATCTAATTCCATTAAACCGGATGGAACTCTTTAAAAGATACAAGGATTTTTTTAAGTCTAGGTATTTTAATTTGGTATGCTATAAACTCTCTCTCTCTCTCTCTTGTTCTGTAAATCAATCATAATGAATGGGTCTTACTATGTCCTTTTTACAGTGCGTTTGTTAATATATGTTATAACTGTTTTGATTTTAACTATTTCAGCTCTTTATAGTGCACCGCAGTGTAAAAGTGTAAAGCAAGCAGAATGGAGATGTTAAGGTTTTGACAATAAACTACACACTTTTTTCGTTGTTTTCATCACTGTTTTCGTCTTCTTCCAAAGTTTCTGGTTTTCATCTTCAGTGAAAAATGTCTTATCTGACATGCAATGAGAGACAACATTTATATCAGAATAGACAATGTGTCTAGATCTGGTTACAATAGACAATGTGTCTAGATCTGGTTACAATAGACAATTTGTCTAGATCTGGTTACAAAGTGTAAAGAACATAGAAAATAGTACCAGTGGTCGGAATTCACAGTAAAACCGATTGCAGAGGTTTCGGGTTCGACACTTTTCACTTGATAATTTTTGCCGGGAGACAGTGTCCCTTTGCAGATGCAGTGGTTTCAAAGATGTCATTAAATCTACTATAATCAGGAATCAAGCTAAATATGAATGTTCTGTAGATTAGATGTAAATATTTAAGAGAGAATGTCACGAATCATCAAGCTTACTCAGTGTAATTGATAGAAACTATAAAATTGAAAAATTTTGGGATTTTTGCATTAATAAACTTCTTTAACAATTTTACCATTTCTGGTAAAATTTTATATTGATTGGCCAAATCGTTTCCATGGAAACCATATATCAAAGTAAGTAAAATACACACTAGAAAAATTCAGATTCAGTCGATTTGCAGTACCTTTGAATAGTTCAACAAATAAAGAATCAATAAATATTAATAAAACTGATTAAAACTATTTTTAAAAAACTAATTTTTTATATTTTGTCTGTATGTGAACAAAAAGGTTTTGATTTCTATTAGTTTTTCTACATGCACTTAGCCTATTTTTGCCCCTGTTTCAGTGACTGATTTCTCAAATCTACAACAAGAAAATAAATATCTGATGCTATTCTCAAAAAGGTGAACATCATTACTGTTAATATCAAAATTAAAATTGAGAAGCATTCTTAAGTGGGCTTAAATTGAAAGGATTTTTTCTCATAATGATGGGTGCTTTTCCCATCTTTTATTGCCATGAATTACTTCCCTTGGAAGCTCTTCAGTGATAGAAACAAAAAATGTTGGCAACCTTTGGAATGTTCTGGAGCACTGACTCAAGGAAAATGCATGTTGTTTCAAGAAGGAAAAAGATTCATAAGCTTAGAATCTTTTCAACAACAAAAAAGCCTATGACAAATCAGGTAATAACCTTTTAAAAAAATATATTTATTTCTAAAAGCGGTCGTTTTCTTACCAATCCGAATTTTCTCCATTCTTTCATAATGCATGTAAAATCCAAATGAATAAGTTTCCTTTGTTGATCACCCCAAAAATCGTCACTTTAATTTAAAAATGTTTTTTTTCTTTTCGCAGAAGTATGCAGAGACTATAGGGATTATACTGATGCAAATAAATTAAACATGAATAATGCTGTGGCAATCGATCAAGACTGACATCAATCGAACTGGTAGAATATTTTCTCTATATTCATATGGTATTAAAATGCCTAATATATCTATGTACAAGCTATTTTCATAGATCGTTTAATCATTATTTAATTTTATTTAACAGTTTAAATGTTCTTAAAGTGAAACATTAACTTGTAAATACATTTATAAAATTCAGGTCCGGATCAAAGATTTTTTTTCCGCAGGCCAGGGGATGGGGGGTGGGGGGGGATTGAAAGGGTGTTTCACATTAACTTTAACAGATGTCAAACCTGAAAATTTTGACATGCAAGAAAAATAAAAAAAAAAATCCTTGAAAACCTTTTTGATTTCGGGATTGGGTGGGAGGGGGGTGTATGAAAAGATACTTTCTTAAGTAAATTCCCTCTGATTTTCTGATATATATATGGCTCTGATTGCCAATATAAGAGGGAACCTTGTTTCCTCAGCAAAGGTGACTTAGGTCATTTTACTGTTACACTTACTCTAAAAATCCGCCGGGGGTGGGAGGGGGGGGGGGACTGGACCCCACCACTACCTACTGTAGATCATGATTTGCACATGGATATTACAATACATTAATTAACTTCACAAGGTTACAGTGTCAAGCTGATTAGATAATGCATTAATGTCTTATAAATGTACTGTATTTCTACATTTTTTACTCTATGAGTTGTGAAAATTTGTCAGTTACAGAACTACATGTAAATTATACAGGGTACTCTACAGATTCAACAGAATAAAATGCAGCTAAGCATCTAGGAAATAGACATTTTAGCCCTTTGCAGTTATTCACTGGTATTAGCAGTTATTATATTTGAATCGAAAGACTTACTATTAAATCAGAACAAAGGTATAATTATTTATTTATTTGTTGTTTACGTTTCTGATGAGAAGAAAAGAAATACTGTAAAAAAATATATTTCTGATGGGTTAAATTTTCGAGTTTTGAGAAAAAATATTATTTTAAGGGGTTTTACTTTCATGGTTGAAGAAATGTGGCTTTGTTAAAATTTAACCTCCATAAAAATTAGTGATTCCACTGTGCAATACTGCATCATAAAAATATACATGCCGGGCTTGTAAAACCTTCCAATAGTGATCACTGCATTTTAATTCCCTCTGTCCATTAAAAAAAAGTGGTGCTTTTAAGTGTATTCTATTTCCTCCAATATTTCTCATTTTTCAAGTTAAATGGATGTGTGACATAACATTTTGACATTTACGGAAAAGTCAGTATAATAACAGGCATATTTTCAAGGTCAAACCTAATTATAAATTTCTTAATATACTTTTATCATATTTATAGAGAGGAAGAAGAAATTATCCATTGAAACCAGTATCAGTGGTGTTAGGAGGATGGATCTTAAGATAATGTAAGTAATTATCATGCACTGTATAATAATTATTGTTTTTCATTTGCACCTTTTAGCTAACCTGAGCTGAAAGCTGAAGTGTTCATATTTGCTTAGTGTCCGTATATCTGTCCATTTGTAAACTTTTGGACTTCCTTTCCAGAACCACTAGACCAATTTCAACCAAACTTGTTACATAGCATCGCTAGGTAAAGGAAATCCAAGTTTATTCGAAGGGTCACACCATCTTTTAAGGGGGAGAAGACTTAGTGAAAATTTAGTGGCAACTTTAAAAAATCAGAACCACTTGGCCAGATAAGTTGAGATTTCATGAAATAAATTGTGTGAAGTATCCTGGTTCATGTCCTTATGAATTCTCAAAACATGAATTCATTTCTTAAATGAACTCGTTGTATCCTAGTGTGCCAATTACAAGCAAATTAATGGTGTGCAATATATTTCCTGAGAAAATCGAAATTCCCAAGTCTTGTGGATACAAGCTGGGTTAAGAGTGGGGTTAAAATATGGAAGAAAATTTTACATTATACAATAAGGCTACATAAGTCATATTGCTATCCAGCATATACCTGGTACATTTGTTGTGAGTGGATTCAACTTCAAGTATGCATAAGTCATGGCCTCTTGAGCTTAGGGTACAGCCCTTGTATAAACTTAAATGTTTCATGGGAAATATAGATGGGACTTCTAAAAATAATTATAGCAGTGCATAAGTGGCTCAGGTGAGCAGTGTGGTCTATGGAACTTTTACTATTTTTTTTCTTTTAATTCATAAATTGCTAATTTGAATCAAAGGTAATATTTTAACTCTATTCAGATTAAAGGAAAAAAAACTATCTTTTGAGATTGTCAATTTTTCTCCATTTAAGGAAAATGTAGTTTTAGCAACTTTATTAAATATTGTTTTCATTTTTTTTACACAGCAGATTCTCATTAGAGTCTGTGGTTGCCAGAGAGTCAGGACACATACATGAATGAGACAAGTGAGATGACAGAAGCCACTAGCAGTATGGGTCTCTCTGATTATGTTCTGAAAAGTACTAGTACAGTATGAGATGATTTCTTTGATTGCTGTGACAATGGCATAGTCCTATCAAAAAACAGATGAAAACTAAATGGATTGAATCTTTCATAAAGTGAGGAAGACTATTCAATTAAAAGAAGAGAAATATTGAATTTAAGACAAATCATGTAAAGGACAAACCTAAAAAAGAAACCAATTCTGAGATTCTCATAAATAAATTGATGATGCTTTTGTTTGAAATCTCATAGATAACTCATTGGAGTGTTACCAACAGTTTTTGATAATTTAAGGATAACAAAATGTCTGTTCAGCTCTTTTGCTATGGACATCAGTTAGTTGCTAGGCACAGATTACATAAGGGATGCAGAAAATTAAATATGATTTTAGAATTCATAAGTGAGATGAAGCTTTAATATATTTTTTCTTTTTATAAATTTATGCATGTTCTCCTTTATTCTTTGTCTTTGTTATGCAATATGTTGGTTACTATGCAGTAAAATTGGTTGCTAAGGGCACATTACATAATTATTTCACCATTATATCACTTATTAATGATGCAAGAATATATTAGCAAATATACATCGGTTTTATGGTTATAATTGATGATTACGTTTATATTATATTTAAAAGAAAACAGTATTAAATGTAAATCTAAAGATTTGAGGTTTTACTAGATGCATAAGTAATTAATTTTGATTTAATCAAAACATCTCTTAACCGTTCAAGGTAGCTCAGTCGGTAGAGCGCTCGCTCCGTGATCGGGAGGTCGTGAGTTCGAATCTCGGCCGAATCTGACCCAAGTCGATAAAAAATGGGTAGCAACTATTCCTTCGCCATGCGCTCGGCACTTTGAAGTGAAAGTTGCGGGTCCTTCGGATGAGACCTTAAAAACCGAGGCCCTGTGTCACGGCAGACGTTGGCACGATAAAGATCCCCTACTGCTCAATGGCCCTGAGTGCCGAGTAAAAGTCAAAGGAGCTAAATCCACGAAGGGGCTAAAGCGACCCATTTTGTCAGGAAAATTAAACTGAGGGGAAGAAGAAAATTAACAATAAAATATTATCCTTGGGTATCAAACTGTATCAATATGCATCTATTACTTGAACAACCTGAATGTTTAAAATATAAAGAATTTGTTGCATTGAAAATTAATTTCATTATTGCGTTTTCCGAAAGAAAATTGAAATCAAATCATGATGATATTTAAAATAAAGGACATTGGCCATTATATATAACAGTTTTTACAAGAGTTTAACTGTCAGATAACGTAAAATGTCAAGTGAACATGAAATGTCAATTACATTTAGGTTCTCATCTCAGGAGTCAGTCTAGGTCAATTTTTACATTTTGTATTTTGTATATTTATATATATTTGATTAATCTTATTATGATAAATCGTTCATTGGTGATAAGAATTGTTATTATTCTTATTTGTTTACCTTATGCTTCCAGCCTCAAATCACTATTCCATCTCCTCAACACTTCCTTAGTGAAGTAGAGATGAGCAGGTCTCTGCATGACCGTATAGATATACTTAGTATATCTATTTTTATCTTTTAAAAAATAAATAAATTATAAATAAATAAACACACCACAACGTCACCCAGCCGAGGAGACTGAAGCAATCAATTTTTTGGTGGCCGGCCATACATGTAGTATAATGTCAACTCAATAAACAGGGAAAATAAAGATGAGAGTTGATACAATTTAAATAGTAACGAAAAATGGGGGGGGGTGTTTTTCAATAAATATTTAACACAAGTTATAGACTAAACTGACCAAAAGGGGGTGTTAAAAACCTTTCTAAATTTTTCAATGTATACTGCGATTCTGGTCACTCAGCGTTAAACAATAATGTAGATTTTATAAGTTATTTTTTAATTAGCAAATAATACTATACATATTTCAAAAAGCATGCTATTATACTGGTAAGTAGGCAACAAATAATTCTATAAACCAACATACAATATTATACATTGTTTGATTATGATAGATTATAGGAATTTGTATATGTGCGTATTTGTAAACAAAAAAGAAAATTGTAATAAAGAAAACGACCAGGAAGGAGTTGTGCCAAATAAAATTTAGAAATTTTGAGTTTATGCTATAGCGTATGTATTATTCTAAAATATGCCCAAAATACCAAACGATACAGGTAAGTATGCCAGTAATTTTGTGAGGGAACTCTCATCAGGTGCTAGTCCCAAACTCCATGCAGGTTTGTTTCGGTAATGAATTGGCCATTCATTCTAGCACGACAAACCTGTCCTCGCCATTTCCGGTAGATGTGTATTTCTATTTTCTAGTGTATAAACATAAAAGTGCACGTGTAATATATAAGTTTTGTAATGTGTCTAACACTACATTTATATCTTAGCTAAGGTACTTACCTTAAGTCTTCTATATTCTTCTATATTGAATTACATCTTGTATATTCATATATATTTGATTAATCTTATTATGATAAATCGTTCATTGGTGATAAGAATTTTTATTATTCTTATTTGTTCACCTTATGCTTCCAGCCTCAAATCACTGTTCCATCTCCTCAACACTTCCTTAGTGAAGTAGAGATGGGCAGGTCATTGCATGACCGTAAAGATATACTTATTATATCTATTTTTATCTTTTAAAAAATAAATAAAATATAAATAAATAAACACACCACAACGTCACCCAGCCGAGGAGACTGAAGCAATCAATTTTTTGGTGGCCGGCCATACATGTAGTATAATGTCAACTCAATAAACAGGGAAAATAAAGATGAGAGTTGATACAATTTAAAATAGTAACGAAAAATGGGGATGGTGGTTTTTCAATAAATATTTAACACAAGTTATAGACTAAACTGAAAAACAACAGGGGGGGGGGGGGGGATGTTAAAAACTTCCTAAATTTTTCAATGTATACTGCGATTCTGGTCACTGAACGTTAAACAATAATGTAGATTTTAAAGTTATTTTTTTAATTAGCTTATAATACTATACATATTTCAAAAAGCATGCTATTATACTGGTAAGTCGGCAACAAATAATTCTATAAATAAAACGACCAGGTGTACATGCAGTATATTCAAGATGCTTCTTTATCGCATTATTTTTATATAAAATGCCTTCTTTGGTCGTTAGTATGGGAATTAATGTTGCAGCTGTTCCATAAAAAGATACATTACCCGCGTAAGCGATTAATGAGTTGAAGGAAATAATATCCAGTGGATATAAATATGTAGACATTAACATATATCCTATGTGTAAAAGTTCACTGAAGAATGAGTATGGTTGGTAAACAATGTTGCTTATTACTTTCATTTCCATTTGAGGCAATCAACTAGAATAAATTGAAACAGGGCTTCAGTTTCTTTTAGGTCTCATTCGAAGGACCTGCAAATTTCACTCCTAAGTGCTGAACGCTTGGCGAAGGAATATTTGCTATCAATGTTTTATCTTAGGTCAGTTGTGACTGGGGTTCAAACCCACGACCCTCCAATCACGGGGCGAGCGCTCTACCGAATGAGCTTCGTGACGGTTCGGATGCAAGATATAAACACCAATGTTCAAACGTTCACGTCGCCCGCGTTACATTTGAGGAGATCAATTAGAATAAAATATTACATCAATGACCCATGGGAGTGAATCGCTTGTTGCTGCTTACCAGCAATCGAGCTAAATTCGGGTTAAAGAGGTAAAGGGAATTTTTGGTGATTAATAAATTTCAATCATTCAGTGTTTATCTGTTTAATTAAAAAATGATCAATATTTTAATCTCTCAATGAGTCAAGTCGAAACACAGAAATATAGCAAGTTAGTAAGCTATTTCCACAGTGTCAGTGATAATAAGTAAGAAATGGCACGCCTAGTAGCCTTGCGTACATAAGTGTTTGACAAGAACAGCGTCAGGTTGACTCTCTCAGTCAAAGGTTTTATATATTTTTTCTATAGTACTTCAAAAAATCAAAGTTTTGACTACAGTTAATAAAAGAATTATTTTACATTAATAAAAGGTCTCCTGGTTGATAAAGAAAATCAAAGTATGCATTTTGTCACATAATAAAAGGTTAACTATACTTTAACGTAGCTTAATGTAAAAGCTTTATTTTATGCAGACTCAAAGCTCTGACTTCAGTTGATGGAAGTGTAAAAAAAGTATTTTCAACAAATAATAATTATAAGTATTACAGTCTGTACCTATCATAGGATAAATCTCAGCCATTCAGTTAACTGAAAGGTAAATAAATATGATCTGCTATTCGGTCAACTTTTCAGACCTCTCAGTGACCATTCAGTTGATTGAATGGCACAGTTTCATCCTGTGTTAGTTTATATTTGTTTTGTTTGTATTTTTAGATACATGAATCAAAGTGTTAATTTTGAAAAACCTATGGGTTACTATAGAGAACTCAAGAATACTGTCATAAACTCCAGTTTACTATGTTTATTCAGATTCCTTTAGTATTTGTAAAAATAAATAAAAGCATCAAAGTAGTTTTTACCAAGTAAATCTATGCTACAAAGATCTTGCTATAGTAAATAGGAATTCAATAGTTTTCACTTATGTCAACAATTGGTTTCTATAGGATTTTTTTTATATTTAGGTAATAAATAAGCTGATCTCATGTTTTACTCTTCGGGTTATGTTTCATTAACTATTCGTTAATTTATTTATTTGATTGTGTATTATCTTTCCAGTGGACAAGATGTATATTGTTGTATATTGTTGAAAGTCCATTTCATTGGCAAATGCACACATTAAAGCAAGCCCGACTATTTGTCTGATAATTGCTTTTTCTTAACGCGAACAAGTCGTGCAGTCGTGCAAGGTGTTTAGATCTGCGTGTGTTTCAAATTTTCATTAACGATGTGTAATGATCGAAATTAGTAAAGTCGGTACATCTATTTACTAAGCCATAATTTAAAAAGATCATTAACCTCATAATATTAGTCAAATACAGAGTCATTGATTAATTAAGCTAATATTTATGTAGAACTTCGTCCAGTATTAGATTTTTCTGAAGAGAACGGTCAATAAAATAACGTGTTTCAATTTATATTCATTAGACCACAACTTCTATATAATTTTCTTCATTGAAGATGAATTGGCCAAAGAAAGGTATTTCACACTAAAAATTCGTTGGCACGCACAATCATTCCTATATCGAAAGTCTGTTCAAAAGAGTGCGTGGATATTGAATAAACAGTAAAACCCGAGTCAAAGTTATTTCAAAAAGTTAGCTTTGGTATTTTTTTTATTTAAAGCGTAAGTAAATAACGAGGCAAAATGTTCTTTACATATTATGGAATCATTTTAATTCGCTTGGATCAATGTTCGTGAGAAATGAAAATTTCACTGGTTCTTGCGGATGTAATTTTAATGGTTCGTATGGATGTAATTTCAATGGGCGTGGGAATGTCATTTCGTAGAAATATCCCTATTTACAAAGGATTGAATGAACCAATGCTTTGACAAAGTTATGGATCGTGGGGATCAAATTTGTGTGTACATGTAAAGGGTGACCTGTGAAATCCACAAACATTGATCCTCTAAGAAAAATGATTTAACATTACGTCTATCTAAATTTTTATTTAACATAAATTTCAGACAAATGCATTCTTAGTTTCATATCAAGGCTTCGTTCCTTTTACAGAAGTTATGGCCGGAAACAATACGACAAGAGAATGCCCGAGTATCATGGAAATCTTTTTGCCACCTTTCTTTATGCTGATTTCATGTTCATTGGGTAAGCAAGCTCAACATGATTTTATAAAAATCATTGAATATTTAGTAAATGGTAGTAAAAATGTTACCATTAAAGTTTTGATAATGCAACAACAAAATAATATTTTGATCATAAGATAAAAGCAGTGCATTGTAGCAGATATAAACTATTGTATATAATGTGAGAATATTTCAGGAGTCCCCTTAAAATTACAAACTTTAAGAATATCTCAAGTACCTCAGCAAAAGTATTCATTCTACACAATGTTGGGAAAATGATATTTCGTTAGTTGACCAAATATTACGAAGTTATAATCTACTTTGAATGTGGAAACGGCTTTTAAAGTGTATCAAAAACAGTTTCTCGTCGCAGGGCTTTTTCTCTCCTTTTATACGGATAATAGTGTCAGCAATGATCCCTTTAGTACCAGATTATAAGGAATATAATTTGATGAAATTCACATCGACAAAGATCTTTGATATTTAAGTGTAAAACATTCATTAGTTTGACATCTTAAATGGGAATTACGTGAAAGATGAGGAAAAAAGAACAGTGATCAATCTCATAAATCCAAGAAACAAAACGAATTTTGAACAAGACAAAAACACTGATCCCTGGAAATAAGAGAGGAGGAATCAGGTGCCTAGAAGTAGTAAACATCTCTTGTTGACGTACACACCCTCTGTGAGCCCTGTGAGGTATACGTAGTACTCCGTAGTAAAAATTAGTGTACATGTATATACACATGTAGATATCGGCTTTCTTAATTAGGATCAGGATTTTTGAAATTGATAGCTTATAGGTCGTGTTTTTGAACTATATTTATATCATTTATAATGATGAGTCTAAGTGGAGTATAGTTGAAAGAAGAGGAAAAAATAAGAACTCTTAGGAGGATTATGTTTAAAATGGTTGAAATCTATGATTTGTAAAAAAAAATATATAATAAAACTTTTGAATGCATTGTCGGGAAAGATCTGACAGAAAAACAAGATGTACACTTCACCTTAAAATATGGAATTCAAGACTGAACTTTTAATGATTATATGAGATTTACTGCATATCCGTTTTTCGTTAGATATTGCCAAAACGGCGGCGCGTTAAAAAATTATTCAGTAACCGTGTGAAGCGGCTATTGACTCGTTTACATACGGAAAAAAGGATGGAAACGGTGATACAAATGTAACTGACACTCGATTATATCTGTTAGGTGTAAAACAATGTCACGGATTGCTGAACTGGTTGTCTAAAAATGGGGAGTTTTGCAGACAAACAAAATAACCACAAAAGGATGAACCTGGAATAGTTAGAATTACGATCGGAGTTAAATTAATGTCTATTTAAAGAATTTGTTATGCGATCTTTCGATGACTCTATAAAATTTGAGATAGGTACCTCGGTGACAAAATGAAAATTTTAAATGTACTATAGAATTTCAGCTTCAAATGAAAGTTTATAACTCGAAAGAAAAGAAACATAATTTCTGAGCAATTCAACGTTTTGAGGTTGTCGGTACTTCACCGACGGCTTTTCTGAAAGAACAGTTTAACTGAGAGAGAATGTTTTTTTTTTAATTCTGTGTCATGAGAAGCAAGTTAATTTTATAAACAAGATGATTTTGAATGACAAGTATGGCCCTTTAAGGTTTTGGTATTTAACAAGATAGCAAGACATCGCAGGTGAGTTAAGGCTAGGTATAGGCATTTCTATGCGAAAATGTCTAAGGTCTATATCTATTATACAGAGAAAGTTAAAACTTATTGTCTAATACATACTTGGTACTCAAGAAATAAGATAGACAGTACCCATTATGACGTCATATTATGACGTCATTGTTCTATACTACACAAGATATAATGGACATCAACAAAAAAGCTTCGGCGCAAGGGCATGCTCTATGTTATTTAACTGACACAAGGTATATTCAGAATCAAAATATTCCAAAGATTGCTGGTATTGCTGCACAAATATCAACATCTCAGTTGTATAATTTCTATTTGTAAAGTTTTAAGTTGAATCAGGGTAAAATGTACAGTCTGGTATAAGTTCCTACAAATTCCGATCAAATGAGAAAATGCCTAGGATCCGTGCAGCAGTTTTATTAATCCATAGAATATTCTTCTCAGCATTATACAATTTTTATGTAAAAATAAACAGGGTAATCCCTTGCGCCGAAGATGTTTTGTTGATGTGTTTTATTACCTCCAATAGGTAAGATCAATGACGTCATAATATGACGTCATAATGTGTACTTGCTTTAACATATCGAGGGTACTAAGTGTGCATAAGAAGATAAACCAAAACTTTCTCTGAATAACAAATATACTTCTTATGCGTTTTTATTAGCTCATTTGCATAGAAACGCCTATACCTAGCTTTAACTCACATGCGATGGAAAATGCACCTTACATGATTTATCTAATGAATAGTGTTAAATTTTTAAATCTATTTCTTGTCACTCCCAATGGGTATACTTTCTTGTTTCTCTAGCGGCATGGTGAAGAAATCTAGTCAAATCTCGTTATCTCGAATTAACTGGACAAAGAAAAAAACCGCAGAAATATCCAAGAATACGGTATATTAATGTTAAAGTACAGAAATATTGAAATAAATGTTGATTGGAATTTCCAACTCTATAATCAGGGATGGGGCAATTTCTTTCAAAAGTAATCGATTAAATTACAGTTATTTTGGATTTTAAAAGTAATCGATTACAAGCTGGTTACATCCATTTTGTAAGTAATCAATTACATCTGATTACTTTTCCATCATGTAATCATGATTACTTGTGATTTCTCTAGATTACACTATTTTTTTAAGTTTTTTGTTTAATGTACGGGGAAAAAATATAATTATCATTTACATTTTAGAGGTAGAGTTCAGACAAAGTTTGGTTATATGTCCTTATGTAGTTGCTCGAGATGTTTTATCTGATCTCTGTCTTATAATTACCAGTAAATATATGTGTTGTGTTGAGGAAAAAATCAAATAAAACTAATTTATAAATGAAATTGGACATAATTATAGTTGGAGATAAAGGGATTCAATAGAGAACTATTTTATACGTAATTGACAATATTGATATGAGTGATGAATCTTTCATATGAATTGCCAGTTGTTAGATGTTTTCACTAGAATTAACACTTTGACTGGTCGAGCATGGTTAGTTCACCCAAGCTGACCCAACTTAAGTACATCTGTGTTTTATTGCTAATTTATTCACATTTTTCCAAGATTCATTTGATAAAAAAATCATTAGTCTATTTAAAGATTTACAGGGAAAACAAAATGTTGCATTGTATGCATGTTAATAGAAACAAAAAAGTCAAACTTTAAAATGATCCATTAGTAATTTTCCACAGTATATGTACCTAGCCACATAGTGCGAATTGCTAAGCTGCTAAAGTATTTTAAAATGACAACTGAATATAGCTAGGAACTGAAAGAATTCACTCATTGCCTGGTCAATGGACCTATAGCGATATGTAGCCTATAATTTTTATTGTAATTTTTGCTTATAAAACATTTGCACACTGAAAAATATTCTCTAAATATCATCAAAGATCATGCTTTTATGAACTTCTTTTTAATCATTGTAATCATAAAGTAATCAAAAAGTTATATAGATTAGAAGACTTTTTTTTTCAAAGTAATCGATTAAATTACTATTTATTGTAAACATAAAAACAGGTAATTACTGATTACTCATTATTACACCACAAACTGTAATCGATAACAGCTGATTACGATTACTGATCACGATTTCCCCATCTCTGACTCTAATCGTCATTTATTGCAGTTCAAGGTATCGACAATTAGCTGTTTTTGATATGCTGTAATAATTTTAGAAAAACCCTTATGAGAATATTGACGACTTCATTTGGCATAATGGATAACTTACCCGAAAAACTTTTGAAAAGCAGAAAAAAATCAAAAAAGAAAAAAAAATTCCTTACTCGAAAATCCTATTGTGGATAATTATATGACAAGAAATTTATTTTGAATGCATTAACATGGGAGTTTGACTATGTTACAAAATAATGGAGGGTCGGGGGGGGGGGGGGGGCACTAGCCTTTCAATGACCATTTACTTGTTTCCATTGTGTAAGATTAGAAATACATGTTTACACCTACTACGCATTTCTTCTTTAGTTTGGCATTATGTATAAGTATTTTTTCTTTTGTAGGTGTTTGTATATTGTTGCTTTGCCGGTTCGAAAAATTTGTCAAACGGTTGAGATCCCAACACCATATTACCAATAAAGATTTCGAGGTTTACCACATTGAAACTTTCTCAGGCCAACAAGCATTAGACCCATCCAAATATAGAAACAATAATTCCAATTGCTCATTCCTTTCAAAGTTTGATCTGGAGGTGCTGAAAGTTCTTCAAACCTTTCCTAATAAAGCTTCAGAGTTACTTAAGATAGGCCTTCCAGCCTTAGTAACCATATGTTTAGGACCCTTTGCTATGTTTTTCTATCATTCTACAACAGAATTCTTTTGGCCAGAAAACAAGTATGCTCAGCTCCCAAACAATAACCAGTGTGTTTCCTGCTTTCTTACTCCTGCCGGACTTGTCTACGCTATCTCGTTTGGTTTTGCCTTTTCTTCAGCCCTTGCTAAGCAGAGTGATATTTTAACAAAGGTCACAGAAGAAATCAGCTTTATTGACCAAGCAGCTACTTTGACGAGTAAGCTGAAGTTAGCAAACAATAAAATCAGGATGGGAATTTACCATGCTATCAAATGTGAAGCGATCTACATGATACTGCAGATTGAAAATAGGAAGGCGTCTTCATTTGTCAACAAGCCAACTGTTGATGTTAAAGGTAAGTTTGCAAAAAGTAGTGATAAACTTTTATCACTAGTCAAAGGTTTCAAAATGTAGGAAAATGGAGATTTTTGCCATGCATTTCAGAAAGATCTTGGTAAAAATTGCAAAATTCTCTATGCACGACTCACATTTTTATCTCTTCTAAAAAAAATGTAAAAAGAGGAACATTTGTAAGACTTAAATTAAAGATCATGCTGCTGAACTTTTATTGTCTGATTGATTACTTTAATAAGATAGATTTTTATAACTGTTAGGATTTTACCCGTTAACATTTTTTTTAAATAATATTGAAAATTATTCCTTCAATGATATTTATTCATGTTGATACTTTAATAATGTTTCAATGTTAGTGTTTCATATTCATACTTTTATAATTTTTATAAATCTGGCAGTTGCAATATGGGAAGTTCTCAGTCTACTTCAAAATCAAAATCATCCAAGTGACCACCATGTAGATGACGTCATGAAAAAATACCTAATAGATTATATATCCAGACTCAACAATATATGTTCGGATGACCTCAGTGTTTTACATTCAATGACTCACTGGTTAATGTGAGTATATTAAACTATAGTTGAAATGGAAAGATTGTTCTTCCCTTATAGTTAATACCTTCTGATAGAGATTTGTGAATTTTAGGACTCTTTTTTAATCATGAATATGATAGGTGATGCAATTATGACTAATAGGGTTTTCCATAAACCTGTTTAATTCAGATAGAAAAAGAATCTTTACTCAGGAAGTTGGCACTTAAAAAGAGACATATTTTTACTAGTTAGCATTAGCACAGTCTTTATGAACAGATGTTTACCGATATGCATGTTATGTACATTAAGTAGTTTTAAAAAAGGATTTTTTTAAAATGATCGACTAAAGTTCTTTTGATGACAAGAGGCCAAAGGGCCTTAACTGTCGTCTGACTAACTTATTATCATAGGTGAATAATCAATGGAGGAAAACTTCTTTCAAAGTAGAGTAAGAATTTCCCAACATGATAGTTCCCTGCCCTAATAGCATCATAACCCCTGACCAAGTAGTTATTAAAATCATTTCTCAGATAAAAACACCATTTGCTTATCACAACATTCCCCTTAGCCCGCAGATGCTACATATCAAAATTAGTTGAAATTGTTCAACCTTTCAAGAAGAGAAAATAAAAGTGTTTAAAAGTTAACGACGATGGACGAAAACAGATAGAAAGAGGTCACTCAGAAAACCTTAAATAGATCTAACAAATTAGATGCACATGTATGTAAATAATTAACAAATATACAATTCAGCATTTCCTGTTGTTTCACGAGTTTACAATTAAATCCTATCATTGACTAGGTGGGTGTTCTTGATCACTCTGGGATTCTTCTCTCTTTATGGTGTGTTACTGATCCAAGCGTCATCCTATCGTATGGAGCTCATGATGTGCACTTTGACACTTTTTTCCATTAGCATGCTTTGTTACATCGTCTCCGATCTAGACTCTCCATTTTCCGGTTTCTTCCGTATCGACATTTCTATCATTGTTGACGTCATATACAGGTTAGAGGTCATGCACAAGATGGCGTCTCTTGGATTTGAGGAGACTGTATGCTATCCCGACAGTTCACGTTTTCAACAGAAGAGATATAACAATGAGGAGAAAGTGAATGACCCTACCGTGTACATTAAGTCGGTGTGTTAAAAGAAATCTAAAGTCTCATATACACAAAAGTAATATGTTGTAGATAATAAAATATTGATATTACTAGGTGAAATTAAGGATATTTCTTGTAGAATAAAGAAATAATGATTGACTTATCTATTTTGTTTAGATTAAAACATTGATACCAACAGAAAGATTTACATAACCTTGAAGTACTGCCAACTTCAGTACTTTGTTGATTGCATTAATCAGAATTGATGATAAGAGAGGAAGTACTTGTACGTTAAAGAAAAAGTAACGATGGCATTATACTGTATGCATATATACTTACAGTGTATAAAGATTATGGGCTGAAAATTATCCTTATTGTGGCGATAAGAATACTCTCAATTTACTATAACTATTGCTTGTGGTACTAATGGTAGTGATTTGTAATGCGGGTGTTTTTATAATGCTGATGGTGATGATTACACAACAAAATGATAAAACGTTAACGTTTCTTGAGATGTACATAAAATGCTTCTAATCGTATTCAAGTAAGAAGATGATCACTTATAATATTTTTTTTTCTAATTCTTTTGTTCTTTTGTTTGAATGAGATGAATTACAAGCTTTCATACATGAACAAAATTACTATGACGTCTCTTTTAGATGACCAAGATCACGGTCATTTTTTTTATAAGTTGACAAAAAAAAGCTGCTTTTATTTAAGCTGAACTAGTCACTTGGGACACTATTCTTTTGCCTGTACAAGGTGAATGATTGTTTATTATTCCGTTCAATGTAGTGACCTTAACTTGTATTCTGAATACATCTTTTATATCTCATCAATGACATTAATTGTACATAATTACATACAGAAACTACACTGTTGGAGGTTCTAGTTCATAGATAATACATCCAAAGTATTTTTCTATCTTCAGAAATATTAATAAAGTAGGCATTCTTTATGAAGCTTGTGTCAGACCTACAAAATACATCTATTTAGATAATTATATTCAATTATATATTTATTATATGGAGATGCAGTTTTTTGTTCTTTTTAAATTTTGATGTTTTACCATATGGCAAATAACTTACACATGTACATATTATTTTATAAAGTATACACTTAATGATTTAGATTTTCAGTTGTCCTGTCAAAGCAATCACCGTTTTATCCAGAAATTCATTCTGAAGACAAATACATTGGATTTAATCCATATACATCTACACGGTACATGTTATAGACGGAACAACCTCATAATATTAAGTTGTAGTATTTATTTTGAAAGAAGGGATAGTAAATGGAGTCATTGCAAAGAATAAATCCATATGACAGGATCATAATTATCTTCCGAAATACGCTGCCTTTAAAAGTGTGCATCGGTGATATAAACATGTATGCAAGCTCCACATATTTTTAGATCTATTGATTGGATATGTAAAATCATGCTCTACGTACGAACAATTTCCAAAACAAGGCAATCTATTGACAAACAATTTGATAAAACAAAAATATCAACCGTCTCGTTTAAAGTCATAATTAAGTAGGCTCTATGGTCGATACAATGACCTTGTCAGCAAACACAATCTATCGTTAAGTCAAATGCTGAGTGACTTTTCTCATATTAATTGTGAGGCCATTTTTCACACACTGAATTTTCTGTTGATTTTTCCGTTTCTCCCGATCATGACAAGGAGTACAGGGTGGGTGTGACCGGTCGGCAATGGATGCTCACTCCTCTATGGCATCTGATACAACTATTGTTTTAGAGGTTCGTGTTTGCTCTGCTCCTGAATTGTATTGTTTGGATGGACTTCTGAGCTTGAATACTGTTCGTTATCTTCGTATTTAATAGAGATTATATTCTTGCATCAGACCTCTAGAAATAGGCAGTGCAATGTTTCTCTTTCCAATTGCATTATCAATGATGTTTTCATTTCTTGTTTCACGTACCTGTCTTACAACTAAAATTTATTTCAGTGATCAAGAAATTGGTATTATCATGCTGCATACGTAATAAATCTACTTAGTTATGTTCACAAAAATGTTTAGATATAGGCAGTGTTGACCCCTCTATAAATGTATAATTGTTTAAACGCCCTTGTTCATCCTCTTTTTTCTCCAATAACCTTTGTGCACTGTTTTCTTTCCCCCATTGTTCATTTATATCCTCAATACTCTATTTTTCTTGTGGTCTGTTTTAACCCCACTTTCAGTTTGTTATTCGTTTTATAAATTTAAAAATAAAATGTTATTATATAAGTTTCTGTCCCGCGTGTTCTTGTTTGTAGTCCCTTTTTACTCAGTAGAGTCCGTATTTAAACACGAGGTGAAGCCCGATTGTGCTTCTTCTGAGAAGGAATGTTCTTTTGACTTTCACGTGAATTATATTACGAGTATGGTCTCTTACAACTTGTCGACTGGTGAAGGATATCCTGTTTTTATACGAAATGGAACTTTTTTCAAGAAATGTTCCAATGGTATTGTGTCTATAGCCCGTCCTTGTGCTGAGATTCCATTGTAACACGAAGGTAAGCTTACTCGGATTTATCAAATGTCAGCTTTTTGTTTAATGAAATAATGATTCTCATATAAGACGCAGTAAAACTTGGATATATTGAACTCAGTTATAACGGACTTTCGATTATAGTGAACTTTTTTTTAACAATTCCATGGAAGCCTTTTTCATTATGTTCCTTGCATAGATACGTCGGCTTCCTTAAAGCTGAGTTTAACAGTTTTTGTTTTTGGACTTCTAAGTTATATTATCAACTTCAAGTTTTCTTTAAATGATTTCAGTTTGTTATTCGTTTTATAAATTTAAAAATAAAATGTTATTATATAAGTTTCTGTCCCGCGTGTTCTTGTTTGTAGTCCCTTTTTACTCAGTAGAGTCCGTATTTAAACACGAGGTGAAGCCCGATTGTGCTTCTTCTGAGAAGGAATGTTCTTTTGACTTTCACGTGAATTATATTACGAGTATGGTCTCTTACAACTTGTCGACTGGTGAAGGATATCCTGTTTTTATACGAAATGGAACTTTTTTCAAGAAATGTTCCAATGGTATTGTGTCTATAGCCCGTCCTTGTGCTGAGATTCCATTGTAACACGAAGGTAAGCTTACTCGGATTTATCGAATGTCAGCTTTTTGTTTAATGAAATAATGATTCTCATATAAGACGCAGTAAAACTTGGATATATTGAACTCAGTTATAACGGACTTTCGATTATAGTGAACTTTTTTTTAACAATTCCATGGAAGCCTTTTTCAATATGTTCCTTGCATAGATACGTCGGCTTCCTTAAAGCTGAGTTTAACAGTTTTTGTTTTTGGACTTCTAAGTTATATTATCAACTTCAAGTTTTCTATAAATGATATATGCAAATCTTTGAATCCTTTCTGTAGACCTATAGTAATAATTTGAACGAACATCTCACTATATTATCAATACAACAAAGACCTCTTGAATATTAATATGTTGATCTGCAGATTGTAGTTTTGCTGGTCTGATAGAACGTTTCAAAAGAGAGTTATTTCTACATGTTGCAAATAAAAATTATTGCAAATTGATTGTAAATTCATCTAATGGATTTTTTTTCTTTTATAGCAAAGTATTACTGTAGAAGACATGTATATGACCCCTTCTATATCTAAATATTGCATGATTCTCTCACAATATTTGAGGCGTAGCCTTTGAATTAACAGTTGCTATACTATCACATATGTTTTGTGTTAAATTAAGTTTCATTTACGCAAGGATTCTGGACAGTTTGAGCAGAAAGGAGAGGTTACGGACGATATCTTATAAACACTGGAAGAAACCATTAAACTTTAAAAAGTCATTTTTGTCATAGGACTCGTTAAAATTTTACGTGTTAAAGAAATAAATTTATATAAACAAAATTCTTTCATTTTTTAATAAGAAAAATGTATTATTAAGTAAATATTGAGAACAAGTGGGAAATAATATAAACGTTTAATTATAATTTATTGATAAAAGAAATCACAGAATATTTTAAATCCCCTCTACTCTGAATAACCTTGACCTTTCTTCTTTCTTTATGTAGAAATGGAAGATGTCGTAACAGCAGATGGAAACTATAAATTCATGTATTCCATAAACAACCAAATCCCGGCCCCAACAATTGTTGTATATGAGAATCAAAAAGTAAGAAATTTTAACAAGTGTGTTGATTTACTCGAAGAACAAAGATAGAGAATATACACACCCTTTTCTTTGTCTCATCCAGAATCAGTCTGAGAAAGCGATATAAGCCAGTTTGTATCAACCCGAGACAGCAATATAAGGCAGTTTGTATCAGCCCGAGACAGCAATATAAGCCAGTTTGTATCAGCCAAAGACAGCAATATTAGCCAGTTTGTATCAGCCCGAGACAGCAATATAAGCCAGTTTGTATCAGTCCGAGACAGCAATATAAGCCAGTTTGTATCAGCAAAAGACAGCAAACTAAGCCACTTTGAAGAATTACTGGAAAAAATACTTTTACAATTAACTAATCATGAATTGTTTTTTATAATATCAAATAACTGAATTTAAAGGAATTTTTATTGAGAATATGAATGAAAATGTGTTATCACAGTTGAGTCTTTTAAAAGTTAAATTTAAATGGGGTGTTATATGCAATCGTGCTAATCAATATCAGTGGTGCTGGATAAGTATCAGCACTTGAAGCCGATAAGGCCATTGTACAGTAAGCTAAAAAAACATACGGAAAAAAACGCCATATATTTATTATTATTATATACAAATAAAGTTAAGAATTCATTTTATGGACTACTACACAGGTGAAAGTTCGTATTCACAATGACCTTGTGAATGAAGCTGTGACCTTTCACTGGCACGGAATGTTCCAGAAGGAAACACCATGGATGGATGGCGTCTCTATGTTAACTCAGTGTCCCATACTTCCGGGGCAGACCTTTACTTATGAGTAAGTAGGTTAAGTAAAACAATGTTATATTATCAACAGTGTGAAAAGATAGAAGTGCGTTTTTGTTATTTTGTCCTTTGCCTCTGTCTATCGTGGGTTGAAGTCTCTTAGCTTAGCAACTGAGAGGTCATCATTGAAATAGCTGTAAACGTGGATTTTAACAACATATTTTGAGAAACTTTGAAAGTTTTAATCTCTGTAAGGGCGATTTATTGACTCTCTCTCTCTCTCACTGAATACTAATTACAACACGTCATGAGGGGGAGGGAAATCGACAGTTTTGCACATTTCTGATATCCTTTCAAACTTGTAGTTAAATACTGAATTAAATTAATTTATTTTTTGTTTTCTTTTAGATATTTTCACATTTGCTTTGCACTCCCGAAAAATAAGAAAATCCTGTCCCATTAATGAAATATATTCCATATCCAATTTCAAAACATTGAATAGATTCTTTTACCTATTTGCCGATCACTGTCATCGCCTTGGGGGGGGGGGACGTTAATGTTTTAGTTTCATTTACAGAATATTCCTTGTTAAGGTTTACGTAAGCAAGTCTTTAGAAATATTGATGAAATTGTTTGTATGATACTTGATATATATTACATTATGTTTGTCTTACGGTATCGTTGTAACTTAAGTGTGAAATGACAAAGTGCCAATAAAACCTTTATTTATTTTGATATTTATTCAGGTTCATAGCTAGTCCACGAGGAACACATTGGTACCATTCACATCATGGAGCGATGAGAACTTCCGGTCTAGCTGGTGCCCTCATTGTACTTCCCCGACAGAAAACGGGGGTAAAAGAGATTTTCTTTTCCAGTGTAGAACATTGCACGTTAAGAGTCTGTAGCAAAACACATGAAAAACACCACGAGGCATAAATTGCCAACGATATTGTTCTTATGGTACAAGAATGGAATTCTAAGATGAGTGATGTACAACTTGTCAACATCCAGGAGTGGTATATGCTATCGTAAGTTATCGTTAGCATTTGTAAACTATCGTAAGTTATCTAAGCCATTGTAAATTATCACAGGATATTGAAAGCTATCGTAAAGTTATCGTTAGCTTTCCTAGGCACGAGGGTTGTAGGTTGTTGAACGTTCCATTGGAGAATTTTTTACTCATTTAGAAACGTCACTATGTACCGGTGAGGGCTTCAAATTTAGATCTTTACTCGGCGCTCAGGTCCATTGAGCTCTGAGATATCTTGATCGGGCCAACGCCTGTTGTTACACGGGCCTAGATTTTTAAGGTTTTATCCAAATGATCAGCAAATTTCACTTTAAAGTGCTGAGCAGTGCACTTGGTGATGGAACAGTTAATGCCTATTTTTTGTCGACTTAGGTCAGTCGCGACCGGTGTTTGAACCCACGACCTTCCGATCACTGAGCAAGCGCGAAGGCTTAGGAAAAAGCAGATAACTTTATTTATTCACCATGGTTAGATGTAAAATTCTACTTATAACAAGCATTCTAGGAGAAATAATGAGTACCAGTTCTTTACCTGCTTGTATAGTCTGATTCACCTTGAAAATTAAAGCTTCAAGTTCAAAGGCTGCATTCCGTAAAGAGAAAAAATCTCTGTAATTCATCAAGGTTGACTCATATACATTTAGTACCAAAACCAGCTCATATCTATAAACATATAGGAAGAAAACATTTCTGGAAATCCTGACAGACAGAGAGTAAGCCTAAGTCCCCCTAGATTCATCTGTAATGTACGTAGTTTAGCTGTTACTTGTCATTAACGTCTATGGTCCGTGGTGTTGAATTATACATACAGTTTAATGTTACTATACATTTTGCTTTGAGTTTCTTTAACTTTTTCCATATTCATTACGTTTCATATTCATTGTAAGAAATGTATATATATTCGTTAAGAGTTATAAATATAGAAATTCCTATCCCGGTCTAATTTATTTCCTAGCTAACCCAGCTCAAACAGCAGGAACTAAGTTTTCCTCATAAAATAGGCGCACCTATATTTTAAATAAATACAAGACATTAATTTAGAATCTCTTTTTTTATTTAAGATTCTCACAAAACCTTGATACGGATAATTGTGTGACAACAAAACGAAACTATGACGGAACTATATCAACTTTGGCAGAACCCTACAATAATGCACTTGTGAACGGTAAAACTAGATATTGTAAGTGTCTAACAATGGTCATCCAGCTTTTCTTGTGAACGGTAAAACAAGATATTGTAAGTGTCTAATAATGACCATCCAGCTTTAATTGTGAACGGCAAAACTAGACATTGTAAGTGTCTAATAATGGTCATCCTGCTTTTCTTGTGAACGGTAAAACTAGATATTGTAAGTGTTTAATGATGGTCATCCTGCTTTACTTGTGAACGGTAAAACTAGATATTGTAAGTGTCTAATAATGGTCATCCTGCTTTTCTTGTGTACGGTAAAACTAGATATTGGAAGTGTCTAATAATGTTCATCCTGTTTTCTTGTGAACGGTAAAACAAGATATTGTAAGTGTCTAATAATGGTCATCCTGCTTTTCTTGTGAACGGTAAAACTAGATATTGTAGGTGTCTAATAATGATCATCCAGCTTACGGTAAAACCACATATTGTAAGAGTCTAACTATGGTCACCCAGCTTAACTTGTGTACGGTAAAACTAGATATTGTAAGTGTTTAATAATGGTCATCCTGCTTTTCTTGTGAACAGTAAAGCTAGATATTGTAAGTGTCTGTAATGGTCATCCTGCTTTACTTGTGAACTGTAAAACTAGATATTGTAAGTGCCCAATAATGTTCATCCTGCTTTTCTTGTGAACGGTAAAACTAGATATTGTAAATGTCTAATAATGTTCATCCTGCTTTTCTTGTGAACGGTAAAACTAGATATTGTAAGTGTCTAATAATGATCATCCAGCTTACGGTAAAACAAGATATTGTAAGAGTTTAAAATGGTCATCCTGCTTTTCTTGTGAACGGTAAAACTAGATATTTTAAGTGTCTAATAATGGTCATCCTGCTTTTCTTGTGAACGGTAAAACTAGATATTGTAAGAGTCTAATAATGATCATCCAGCTTACGGTAAAACCACATATTGTAAGAGTCTAACAATGGTCACCCAGCTTAACTTGTGTACGGTAAAACTAGATATTGTAAGTGTCTAATAATGTTCATTCTGCTTTTCTTGTGAACGGTAAAACTAGATATTGTAAGTGTTTAATAATGGTCATCCTGCTTTACTTGTGAACGGTAAAACTAGATATTGGAAGTGTCTAATAATGTTCATCCTGTTTTCTTGTGAACGGTAAAACTAGATATTGTAAGTGTCTAATAATGGTCATCCGGCTTTTCTTGTGAACGGTAAAACTAGATATTGTAGGTGTCTAACAATGATCATCCAGCTTACGGTAAAACCACATATTGTAAGAGTCTAACTATGGTCACCCAGCTTAACTTGTGTACGGTAAAACTAGATATTGTAAGTGTTTAATAATGGTCATCCTGCTTTTCTTGTGAACAGTAAAACTAGATATTGTAAGTGTCTGTAATGGTCATCCTGCTTTACTTGTGAACGGTAAAACTAGATATTGTAAATGTCTAATAATGTTCATCCTGCTTTTCTTGTGAACGGTAAAACTAGATATTGTAAGTGTCTAATAATGATCATCCAGCTTACGGTAAAACAAGATATTGTAAGAGTCTAAAATGGTCATCCTGCTTTTCTTGTGAACGGTAAAACTAGATATTTTAAGTGTCTAATAATGGTCATCCTGCTTTTCTTGTGAACGGTAAAACTAGATATTGTAAATGTCTAATAATGTTCATCCTGCTTTTCTTGTGAACGGTAAAACTAGATATTGTAAGTGTTTAATAATGGTCATCCTGCTTTACTTGTGAACGGTAAAACTAGATATTGTAAGTGTCTAATAATGGTCATCCTGCTTTTCTTGTGTACGGTAAAACTAGATATTGGAAGTGTCTAATAATGTTCATCCTGTTTTCTTGTGAACGGTAAAACAAGATATTGTAAGTGTCTAATAATGGTCATCCTGCTTTTCTTGTGAACGGTAAAACTAGATATTGTAGGTGTCTAATAATGATCATCCAGCTTACGGTAAAACCACATATTGTAAGAGTCTAACTATGGTCACCCAGCTTAACTTGTGTACGGTAAAACTAGATATTGTAAGTGTTTAATAATGGTCATCCTGCTTTTCTTGTGAACAGTAAAGCTAGATATTGTAAGTGTCTGTAATGGTCATCCTGCTTTACTTGTGAACTGTAAAACTAGATATTGTAAGTGCCCAATAATGTTCATCCTGCTTTTCTTGTGAACGGTAAAACTAGATATTGTAAATGTCTAATAATGTTCATCCTGCTTTTCTTGTGAACGGTAAAACTAGATATTGTAAGTGTCTAATAATGATCATCCAGCTTACGGTAAAACAAGATATTGTAAGAGTTTAAAATGGTCATCCTGCTTTTCTTGTGAACGGTAAAACTAGATATTTTAAGTGTCTAATAATGGTCATCCTGCTTTTCTTGTGAACGGTAAAACTAGATATTGTAAGAGTCTAATAATGATCATCCAGCTTACGGTAAAACCACATATTGTAAGAGTCTAACAATGGTCACCCAGCTTAACTTGTGTACGGTAAAACTAGATATTGTAAGTGTCTAATAATGTTCATTCTGCTTTTCTTGTGAACGGTAAAACTAGATATTGTAAGTGTTTAATAATGGTCATCCTGCTTTACTTGTGAACGGTAAAACTAGATATTGGAAGTGTCTAATAATGTTCATCCTGTTTTCTTGTGAACGGTAAAACTAGATATTGTAAGTGTCTAATAATGGTCATCCGGCTTTTCTTGTGAACGGTAAAACTAGATATTGTAGGTGTCTAACAATGATCATCCAGCTTACGGTAAAACCACATATTGTAAGAGTCTAACTATGGTCACCCAGCTTAACTTGTGTACGGTAAAACTAGATATTGTAAGTGTTTAATAATGGTCATCCTGCTTTTCTTGTGAACAGTAAAACTAGATATTGTAAGTGTCTGTAATGGTCATCCTGCTTTACTTGTGAACGGTAAAACTAGATATTGTAAATGTCTAATAATGTTCATCCTGCTTTTCTTGTGAACGGTAAAACTAGATATTGTAAGTGTCTAATAATGATCATCCAGCTTACGGTAAAACAAGATATTGTAAGAGTCTAAAATGGTCATCCTGCTTTTCTTGTGAACGGTAAAACTAGATATTTTAAGTGTCTAATAATGGTCATCCTGCTTTTCTTGTGAACGGTAAAACTAGATATTGTAAATGTCTAATAATGTTCATCCTGCTTTTCTTGTGAACGGTAAAACTAGATATTGTAAGTGTCTAATAATGATCATCCAGCTTACGGTAAAACAAGATATTGTAAGAGTCTAAAATGGTCATCCTGCTTTTCTTGTGAACGGTAAAACTAGATATTTTAAGTGTCTAATAATGGTCATCCTGCTTTTCTTGTGAACGGTAAAACTAGATATTGTAAGAGTCTAATAATGATCATCCAGCTTACGGTAAAACCACATATTGTAAGAGTCTAACTATGGTCACCCAGCTTAACTTGTGTACGGTAAAACTAGATATTGTAAGTGTCTAATAATGTTCATTCTGCTTTTCTTGTGAACGGTAAAACTAGATATTGTAAGTGTTTAATAATGGTCATCCTGCTTTACTTGTGAACGGTAAAACTAGATATTGGAAGTGTCTAATAATGTTCATCCTGTTTTCTTGTGAACGGTAAAACTAGATATTGCAAGTGTCTAATAATGGTCATCCGGCTTTTCTTGTGAACGGTAAAACTAGATATTGTAGGTGTCTAACAATGATCATCCAGCTTACGGTAAAACCACATATTGTAAGAGTCTAACTATGGTCACCCAGCTTAACTTGTGTACGGTAAAACTAGATATTGTAAGTGTTTAATAATGGTCATCCTGCTTTTCTTGTGAACAGTAAAACTAGATATTGTAAGTGTCTGTAATGGTCATCCTGCTTTACTTGTGAACGGTAAAACTAGATATTGTAAGTGTTTAATAATGGTCATCCTGCTTTTCTTGTGAACAGTAAAACTAGATATTGTAAGTGTCTGTAATGGTCATCCTGCTTTACTTGTGAACGGTAAAACTAGATATTGTAAATGTCTAATAATGTTCATCCTGCTTTTCTTGTGAACGGTAAAACTAGATATTGTAAGTGTCTAATAATGATCATCCAGCTTACGGTAAAACAAGATATTGTAAGAGTCTAAAATGGTCATCCTGCTTTTCTTGTGAACGGTAAAACTAGATATTTTAAGTGTCTAATAATGGTCATCCTGCTTTTCTTGTGAACGGTAAAACTAGATATTGTAAGTGTCTAATAATGATCATCCAGCTTACGGTAAAACTAGATATTGTTAGAGTCTAATAATAGTCATCCAGCTTTACCTGTGAACGGTGAAACTAGATATTGGAAGTGTCTAATAATGGTCATCCTGCTTTTCTTGTGAACGGTAAAACTAGATATTGTAAGTGTCTAATAATGTTCATCCTGCTTTTCTTGTGAACGGTAAAACTAGATATTGTAAGTGTCTAATAATGATCATCCAGCTTACGGTAAAACTAGATATTGTAAGAGTCTAACAATGGTCACCCAGCTTAACTTGTATACGGTAAAACTAGATGTTGTAAGTGTCTAAAATAGTCATACAGCTTCACTTGTGAACGGGAAAACTCGATATTGTAGGTGTCTAATAATGGTCATCCAGCTTACGGTAAAACTAGATATTGTAAGTGTCTAACAATGGCCATCCAGCTTTACTTGTGAACGGTAAAACTAGATATTGTAAGTGTCTAATAATGGTCATACAGCTTAACTTGTGAACGGTAAAACTAGATATTGGAAGTGTCTAATAATTGTCATCAAGCATTACATGTGATTGGTAAAACTAGATATTGTAAGGGTCTAATAATTGTCATCCTGCTTCACATGTAACGGTAAAACTAGATATTGTAAGTGTCTGTAATGGTCATCCAGCTTTACTTGTGAACGGTAAAACTAGATATTGTAAGTGTCTGTAATGGTCATCCAGCTTTACTTGTGAACGGTAAAACTAGATATTGTAAGTGTCTAATAATGATCATCCAGCTTTACTTGTGAACGGTAAAACTAGATATTGTAAGTGTCTAATAATTGTCACCCACCTTTACTTGTGAACGGTAAAACTAGATATTGTAAGTGTCTAATAATGGTCATCTAGTTTCACTTGAGAATACTTCTGTTCTTCTAGTCTTTCTTTTTTGTCTATTACTGAAACATCAATATAGTCTAACATGATGCCTTTATTATTTTTCATTGCCGAGTTTTTCTCTACATTGTATATTTTGATGCCTTGATTGAATCATAAATAATCTTATGTAATAAAGTCGACCAGGCTGTAATTTTATTGATTTTTTTTTTAATTTATCCTAGTTTCTGAGCAATACTCTGAGAGGCAGCGTTTGTTGCCACTGGAAGTTTTCAACATCTCATCCAATACTTATTATAGATTCCGTCTGATAAACTCTGGTATGACAGGCAGCTTTAGAATCTCAATAGACAGCGTAAGTATTTAGTCCCACCAGGGAATAACAATTACATTTAATTTACTTTAGATTTCCATTGTGCACTTTATCATCTGTAGTGATCTCTGTCGCAGCATGTTTTCTCCTGTTCTCTGTCCATGGCTTCTGTTCTTTTTCTTTTCTGAACATCCGTGCATAACTCTCATAGATTAAATTCAGAAGGTGTGGTCCAACCAAAAAAATTTCTATTTATATTTATGTTTATCCAGAACTTTATATAGACGATACAAATCCGACACTTTAAACCATTAATTGTATGTTTTACAGTGCGACTAAATTAAATTGTGTTTAAATTTTTATATTTACATTTACACATGTTTTCCCTTAAATAACACAATCTAAGCGAGGCGTTTTTAATTCTGTGTAGAAACAGGTTCCTCACGTGTCCTTTAATTTATTGTTTAGTCATAAACGATTGAAGTAATTTAACAGTGACGTCATACGTGGTAGAAACGTTCAACGGATTCAATTCATACCGTTGAGGTTTGATCATTTTAAGGTTTAAGGTTTAATGTAAATATATACTACAGTGTATAAGGTATCATTTTTAACTTTTATCGGGATGTAAATGCGGGTCGGCATGTGATCAAATCTACCATTCGGGCTTTATTTTGATCACACGACCAACCTGCATTTATATCCGAATAAAAGTTTTAAAATTATACCTTTTCTTAATCAATGAAGCACAAGCTTTTCCTAATTGCATCGGACGGTGCTGATCTTGTCCCTGTTCAGATCGACTTCCTTATTATTAACCCTGGGGAAACTTATGACGTCATTCTGTACGCCAATTCCACAGCAGGAAACTACTGGATACGATCGCGAGTAGAAACAACGGCGGTCATGGATGTACATTTTGTGAGTTGTGGTCCTCATTGAGAATATGAAACAAAAAAAAATTAAGAACAATTACGCATATTATTGCAATAATTCACTTATATGTTTTAAAGAACCATTTCCGTGTATTTACTTTATTTTTTTTTAATCCAAGTGTGTTGCAAACATGAGGTTTAGATCATCTTCATATACAGGGTTATGCTATCATACCAGAAGTATAGATCAACTTCATACACAGGGTTATATCATACCAGAAGTATAGATCAGCTTCATACACAGGGTTATATCATACCAGTGTAAATATTCTATGTGGGAATAAAATGTGTGTAGGGATAAAGTGGTCCAGTTGTTAAATATTAGAAAAATACTAGTTGTTATAGTTTCATATGGAGTATAACATTACAATGGTGAAATTCTTTCTTAAAAATTAAATATCTAATCTATACTGTGTATTTTATCTTAATTGTTATATCTTCTACCTTTTGCAGAATCCAATACAACAAAATGAAAGCTTTGCACAGCTTCACTACAAAGAAGCAGACGCTGAACTTCCGAAATCAGAAGAGAGAAAATGCTCCGTAATAGAGCCCTGTGTAATGGCCAACTGCCCCTGGAGGTTTGAGATATAACTATCACGTAATAACTTAATGCAAAAGGATTTACCTGGTGACCTACTTTAAACCATGTCCAAATAACGTCTTTAAGGTTGTTCCAAGAATATTGTGTAATGTTTGCTCTTTGCCATCAAAAAAAATATTTTCATAAAATATTCAAATTTGGACTGGATAGGTTTGTTTTAATCTTCATAGGTTATTACTCAATAAGCATGTTACCAGAATGGATAAACATTAACGTAAACATGGATAAACATTAACTTGTACATAGATAAACATTAACTTGTACATAGATAAACATTAACTGAAACATTTAGTTGTACTTAGATAAATATTAACTTGCACTGAGATAAACATTAACTTGTATTGAGATAAACAATAACTTGTATTGAGATAAACAATAACTTGTATTGAGATAAACATTAACTTGTACTGAGATGAACATTAACTTGTATTGAGATAAACCATAACTTGTATTGAGATAAACCATAACTTGTACTGAGATAAACAATAACTTGTATTGAGATAAACATTAACTTGTATTGAGATAAACATTAACTTGTATTGAGATAAACAATAACTTGTATTGAGATAAACATTAACTTGTACTGAGATAAACAATAACTTGTATTGAGATAAACAATAACTTGTATTGAGATAAACCATAACTTGTATTGAGATAAACAATAACTTGTATTGAGATAAACCATAACTTGTATTGAGATAAACAATAACTTGTACTGAGATAAACAATAACTTGTATTGAGATAAACCATAACTTGTATTGAGATAAACAATAACTTGTATTGAGATAAACAACAACTTGTATTGAGATAAACAATAACTTGTATTGAGATAAACAATAACTTGTATTGAGATAAACATTAACTTGTACTGAGATGAACATTAACTTGTATTGAGATAAACAATAACTTGTATTGAGATAAACCATAACTTGTATTGAGATAAACAATAACTTGTATTGAGATAAACAATAACTTGTATTGAGATAAACAATAACTTGTATTGAGATAAACAATAACTTGTACTGAGATAAACAATAACTTGTATTGAGATAAACAATAACTTGTATTGAGATAAACAATAACTTGTATTGAGATAAACCATAACTTGTATTGAGATAAACAATAACTTGTGTTGAGATAAACATTAACTTATACATGGATAAACATTAACTTGTACATGAATAAACATTAAATTGTACATGAATGAACATTAACTTGTACATTTATTGACAGTCCTGATAGCATGGTAAGGATAGAACCATCTGTCAAGTGTCTTTCCATAGCAGACCTTAAGGCGTCATCGATCAGCAGGACATTCAACCCTGTCTCCATTCCAGATTCTCCAGATGATTTCCAAGAGATTTTTCCCAATTTTCATTTTACGGGTTAATAAGAAATGACAATTCTATGATTTTTTTTATTCATTAAGTAGAATTATGACACCAGGAAAATCTGCATTAAGAAATTTTATTCCAATTTTCTTAAATTTAAAACGGCGGACATTTGCTTTTCAGGGAGTGATGTTAAGCGTGCCCGCCCAGCAGTGAATGCAATCCATTACAAATCCCCACCAACTCCACTTCTGGTATGATGGATTTGATCCGAAATCATAGGATTTTTTTATATTTGTAACACAAAGAAGTTGCAACCAGATCTGTGAATATGAATAATCGGAGTCTGTTTCATTTTTTTTAATGAAATACTTGCATTTCAATAATTATTGTGCAAGAGAATAAAAGAATTCGGTTGTCAGTTGCATATCTTGCAAAAGGTTGTAAAATTTAATTTCCTTTTGAGGAGGGATTCTTGTCTGGTTTCTGACTAGACGAAATATTCCAAGTAGATTTGCTTGTACGTCTTATAAACTTAGCTGTAATGTATTTAACAGATCATATTTTTCTTTACTCATCATTATTGTACAATTTTAAATAGAAATGGTAAACTGAGTTTGAAATCCATAAGGGACTATATTTTTGACGCAACTGCGGCGTATGAAAATATCTCCTTTTCTGCCTATCAGAATCACTTACAGAACATAACGTGTGGTTAATTTTTTTAAACAATCAAAGACTTGAGGAAATTTTGATATGTAACGAACATTAATAATAATGCCCTAAAGTTTTAAAACACAGCAAATAAAAATGATTTTCTAAACAAACTACAATCTTGTTAGCTTTTGAAAGCCTCCAACCTTAAAACAGATTTGAGCAAAAAATCAATAAAAAGTGTTTTTTCTCTCTTAAAGCTTTTTGTTTTTGTATCATTTTGTATATTTATATAACTACTTTATCATGTGTAAAAATAAGAAATAATTAAATATAAGAAGTATACAAAAATAACTAATATATCCTAAAAAATTAAGAAAAACAGAGGAAATCCGGATTAGCCAATATCTATTAAGTTAAATAATGTCAATTAATTTGGTAGAATCATCTGATAGACCCGATATGGTAACATCTTTTTGTGCAAAAAGAAAAACATTTCATCTTTTAAAATAGAAGTAGGCATCAGATGATTAGCAACAGTAATTTTTTACTCTAAATGTCAAGGAAAAAGATAATGACCTTGACCTGACCTTGTTTCTAAAATAAAACGGTCAAATTTAATCTAATTGATACCATCACTTAGTGATATTGTCTTCTTGAATCTCTGAAAATTTCATTAATTTTTAAATACAAGAAATATGAGTAGAATAAGAGAAGAATCCCTCCTTAAGTGTATTTTTCTCAACTTTTTTTTTATTATTATTGTGTTCAATAATGATTAGTAACAAATGTACAAAAAAATAACATTTCACACAGCCAGATTTAGAACGCTTTATTTTTGTTGTTTGAAGATTTCTCCAGATATTGTAAAAGACAAGAGTATTGTATGTAACAACGAACACATGGAGAACTGTGGTGAATACTGCCGATGCACTCACGTCGTTAAACTTGAAACCAAGAAAACCACACAACTTGTTCTTATTGCAGAAAGTGAGTACCATCCTTCACAAATATACATTCTAATAAATCTCGAGTTGATATCTTTGCATGATTGCCCTATGGGTGTACAATTAAACCGGTCACACTTTTTCTCTATTAAACAAATGAAAATCATTTTAAAGCAGATTGATCAGGGAACATGTTGATGATGATTGTCAGATCAACTTATTTTTTACCGGAAAATCACTTAATTTTGGAAGGGGACGGATTTTTTGTTGTATTTTGGTACATATATATGAAGAGAGTCCCAAATAGATGTCCTACACGAAACCTAAAATTTCATATGTATCATAATTGAACTTTCTTCAACGACAAATTCAAATATCATATCTCCATAATATCTTCCCAAAAATACATTTTTTTATTTTACAGTACTTATTGCACATACAAGGGTCGATATATCATTTTCGTTTTCAAAATGATTTTAAAGATGGCTTACAGACAGGAACTTCACATCCCGTTCACATACACGGAAATCGTTTCCAAGTTCTGAAAATTGGTCATGCAGTTTTAAACAAAACAACTGGATTTGTACAAGATGCAAACCAAGACATTCAATTATCGGATAACTTCAGCAAAGCAAAATGGCGGGATTCAAGCTGGAAGAATGGTAACGTTCCAGATCTAAACATAGAAAATCCTCCACTCAAGGATACGGTGGTGGTACCAAACAGAGGCTACGTTGTAGTAAGGCTACAAACTGACAACCCAGGTAATTAGAATGAGAAGAAATCCATTCTAGTTCTGAGAGAATTTGAATTTCCCATAGACCGATCATGACAAAGAGCATAAGACGAGTGTGATCGGTCGATAGGGGATACTTACTCCCCAATGGCACCTTGTTCCACCTCTGATGAGAATTTTAGAGGTCCGTGTTTGCCCTGCTCCCGATTTATGATGTTTCAATGGATTTTTGAGCTTGATTACTGTTCGTTATCTCGATCCATCTTTTATTGTAAACTAGTTTAAATGGAAACTTGAAACATTTAGTGTAAATGTAAAATAATGAAATATATTGTAGGATTTTGGCTTCTTCATTGTCACCTTGACACCCAAATGAACATCGGAATGGCTGTAGTTCTGCAAGTAGGCGAGCCAAATGATATGCCAGAAGTTTCCTCACATTTTCCAAAATGTTCGAACTTCAATGTAAACTCGATTTCTTTACCTTCATCTAATTCAGTTAAACACGGTGGGAATCTTTAGAAGATACAAGGATTTTTTCAGCAACTAGGTATTTTAATTTGACATACTATAAACTTCCCTCTCTCTTATCTCTCTCTCTCTCTCTCTCTCTCTCTCTCTCTCTCTCTCTCTTTGGTTCTATAAATCATTGAATGGATTTTCCTATAACCTCTTTGTAGTGAGTGTGTTATTATGCTAACTGTCTTTTTCTTTAACTATTTCAGCCTTTTATGGTACATCAGAACGTAAAATTGGTAGCAAGCAAAATGAAGATGTAAGATTTATGACAATAAACTATCGTTTTGGATGTTTTCATCGCTGTTTTCGTCTTCTAATGTCTTTAGTGTTCTTCTACAGTGAAAACTGTCTTATCTTACATGCAATGGGAGTAGGGATGTCAACGAATATTCGAGTACTCGATTATCGTTCGATGATACCGACTACTAGCTAAAATTTTTACTTGGTTATTCGTTATAAAGTTTGTTTCTTCACAGTAATCTTAAATTCAATGTATTAAAATGAGATTATCTTCATTCATTTCTTATCGCGTCAGTGTTCTCGTTTGTAAATCTCAGGGTAAGGCTTAAGTGGTTTGATAATTGTTCAAAGGATATTTTTTGCCTGTCGATTTTTAGTCGGCCTCCAAAATCTACAGTTTTTGGCATACATTAAAGATTTCAGAATTGAAAAACTGTGAAATACTGTACTTGCATTCTGCGGTGTAACATCCAAAACTGGAGGATTTAGAGGGGGGCTCAGTCCCCCCCCCCCCTTTTGTGTCCAAAATATACATGTACATGAGATTTAATAAAACAATTTTGTTTGGTGTGGCCGTGGGCCCCTACCCCGACCCAAAACTGGTCGCCCCCCCCCCCTTCAAGATTCCTGGATCCGCAACTGTCCTAATACATGTATCATGTGTATGTTGTATCATACATGTTTTATATGCGTCATCCGTCATACATATCGAAATTCACTATTGAACCTTTCCTAGTAAATTCTCCGCAAAAATGCCCAATTACCATGCCGGAAAATCTTTTTAAGGATTGTCTACATCTTAAAGAGTTGTAAATGGGGGGAGCTTTCAAAAACTATCTTTACTAGCTCCAAATTATAAAGTTCCAGCCCGATACCATAAGATCACACATAATGCTACTCTTGATTAATAATAATAATTGAACAGCTGTTACAGAATCGTAAATGCATGTAAATTGGGGAACAGTTATGAGCGTAATTTAATGGTGTTTCTGTCTTTTGTTAATATCAGTCATTTTAAGATTGTATTGATTGTTTTCACAGAATCTCATAATCCAAATTTATTGCAAGCTCTCTATGATTTCATAAGAGGTTCGCCTTTTTATCGGTCACGGGTCACTAAAAAGACATGTTCAACAGGCTTCGGGTGATAGTACAATAAAGTTGCATATACTAGCGTCATAAAAAAAGAAGACAAATGCAGGCGTCTGATATTCTGTATTTACATGTGCAGTAAATATTATTTTTTTTTATTTATACATAATTTTATTCACAAAATGTGAATGGGATTGGGCAGCAGGCATAGACTATATTAGCCCTCTCCCTACAGCAAGGTCAAGGTAAATACAAACTATAACATTAATTTAAAAACATTGTAAAAATAAAATGCAAGGAAAAAGAAGGAATAATACAATGAAGTACCCTAAATATTATAATCAAGAACAAATTCATTGGATACATATATTTATTACCATGTAAATGTTTACAATTCAGAAATTGTTTAATGCATTGTTCACATTAATTATTGTACAAGCAGTCCGTAGAAGACATATAGTGCAATGCAATGAAAAAATAAATTTCTACGAGTACTCGATTATCGTTCGACTAAAGTCTCCGACTATTCGACTAAGCTGTCCGAGTAAAATTGACATCTCTAAATGGGAGACAGCATTTGTATCAGAATAGACAGGATTTCGGATTACAAAGGGTAAAGAACATAGAAAACAGTAAAATGGGGATTTAAACAATGGTCGGAATTCACAGTGAAACGGATTGCACAGGTGTCGGGTTAGACACTTTTCACTGTATAAATATTGTAGGGATCAGTTTTCATTTCGCAGATATCGGGGTATAGTGAAAGAAGCCATTAAAACTACTATAATGAGGAATCAAGCTCAACGTTCTGGAAATTAAATTAAAATTTAATTTTAGCTGGTAATACTCCCGTTTCTACAACCAAAGATTAATCTATACTGCTTCGTAATCGTTAATATCAATCATTTAAACTTGAATTCACTGGGATAAAAATCAGAACTGAATGAAAAAAAATGATATTAAAGACGACTTTGTTGTTGTACTTTGAAGTCTAATTGCTTGAAACTCAAATGGGAAAAACTAAAATCGTATAAATGATCTTTTAAATAATGATCTACTTTAAACATAGGTATTTTGAGCAATTTCGAATCATTTTATACCAGTTAAATATGCATTGTTAGATAACGATAAAAGTGAAATGAACCAAATTCACCAGACTGATAACATATAAGTAGCCGGCCATTTTGTATCTTAAAGTTTTTAAAGAGTTATCTGCCCTTGATAAAGAGAGGAAAATTTCGATTTTGTAAAAATCTCTGTGGTATACAATTCATTTCATTTCAAGGTTTAACAAAGAGACAGTGTATGCATATTTTCATCAAGATATTTGTAAGAAGTTCAAATTACTTTTTACAATATCTTGATAACACATGCTCTGCCCATAGACTTCAATGTAAAATTCAAGGTGAAATTAATTGGACAATAATCAAAATTTTGCAAATTGCTTTGGTGGAGTATTTTTATTTGATAGCACCTTCAAAATACTACCATGATTAAAAATATCGGACCATTCATTTATTAGGTACCAAATATTGTCGTTATACATTTAATACCTTAAACACTTTTGATATGCATTTATCCCTATGATGCCTTTGTCTGATGCCTGTCTGTCTATCTGTCATATATATCTGGGATAGGTCGCTCTTTGTGTAAAGATATACCTAAACACAAAATTTTTATGAGAAATAATGGCTATTGTCCCTGTAAAATCGTAATTTGACGGCTCTTACTAAATCTCTCTCTCTCTCTCTCTCTCTCTCTCTCTCTCTCTCTCTCAAGCAATCCAAAGGTTTTAATATAATAATTGTTATACCAGGAAGGTCATATAAATCAAATAATATTCATGATTCATTAAGAACCACTTTGCTTTCGGGATTTTTCATCAATAAAGCTTGGATTCTGACATACACTGTAAGGCAGAAAAGCATGGAGAAATAAAATTTTCCTGATTGAATGGGAAATACATGTAAAGGCAAATTTTTCATGAATTTAAAATACATCATCCCCTCTCTCACACCCTATTTTTTTCCTCTTTTTTGGGGTGGGGAGGGGGGAGGGTTTTTTTTAATGATATATTTATAGTTTATTTTACATTTCTCGTAAAAACTGAGCTATCATATAGTGTCAGTGGTAATACCCTTTAAAAGCTCATATTTTAAGAGAAATGTAAAAAAACAATAAAATAAAATAAATGAATAAATAAACAATCAAATAAATATATAATGAAATAATAATGATACCCCCCCCCCCCCCAACAAAAAAAGAAAAAAGGGGTGTGAGAGAGGGAATTATATATATTTTAATTTCATGAAAAATTTGTAAAAACTCTCTAACAAATAGTGTATGTGGTGTTTTTGTTCAATAGATAAAAAAAGAGGGCGTTTCACAAGGGGTCCCTGGCGTGGTCATAAAGACCCGTAAACCCCTTGGGGACCCCCCCCCCCCAAAGACTAGTCCCTGGCGCGGTCGTGAATTAGACCCGTAAACCACTCTGAGAGGTCCCCCTCATATCAACGATCGGGGATCCGGTCGGTACGAGAAACAAGCTTTGTGCTGCTGTGTGCCTTGGCGTAGGTCCACCTCTGGCGCGTCCTTGACAGGGTCGTACATGTAAGTGGCTGCCACTCTTCTCATTTTCAAGAAAAACAAGTATAAACCCGCCTGCAGTCGGACAGCAGGTCCAAAGTCCTGGTAAAGTGTGATGGCTACTTTGTAAGAAACCGAAAAAGAAAAAAAATTTAAAAAATAAAAACAAAAAAAAAAAAACTTAAGCGGAAGAGCTGGAAACGGAAGGGCCGCCATCTTGGACCCGGTTAAAAGGGATCGAAATGTACACACTATACTGCTATCTTGGTAGTATGAAAATCCTGATTTAGAGTCTTCCTACAGATTGATTAATCAAAACATAGTAAAAGTGTAGAAAAATATGTATCAGTGTACATAATTCTGTAAATGCATGTAGAATATTTAAGGGAAAGGGGGCGTTTCAAGTCCAGGTGCTACTCTTCTTTTTACATAATTACAATTAAGCCAGTAGAGCTGCATTCTCATCAGAGACTTCTGGTTTGTACTTTATTTAATATCAATCAATCGGGAGAGAACTGTGTTTTGCTTTAAATATGATGAACATTGAATATAACTCAGGTTTTCAATTTGCAGCTTTTTTCTCTATTTGGGTTGACTTACCCCCCCCCCCTTCTGGTCCTTCCACTTTGAAAAACGATGCTACATGCCTGAGAGAGAGAGAGAGAGAGAGAGAGAGAGAGAGAGAGTAATTTGTTTCCTGGGAACATGTTAAGGAAACTGTATGCTCAATTTTATTTTTAGGTGGGGGTTCTGAAGAACTATACAAATTACTGAAAGTTTTATTGGTATTGTTCGAATTTACAGACACAGGTTGAGAATTACGCTCGAGGATTGCAATCTCCCTTGATTTTTTTTTTTTTTAATTTAATTTTTTTTTAACAGAGAGCCTATACAACATGCTTTAACATGGAACCTCATACTCTCAAAATTTATATATGTACATGTGTAATATTACTCAACCCGTGCGTGCAAATGACGTGTTATAAAATAACTGGTATCTGTATATCTTGATTAAAACAGCAGAAACATTCAAATTAGACAAGTAGGCGCTGCAAGCAAAGATTGATCAGGGAAAATCAAACTTTTGTGATAAGTCGATGTTTGAGAATGGACTTGAAGCTTCAAATAATTATACATTAGAAATTTTCAGATTTGCTTATAATTTATCGTCAATTAATTTGAAATAAAAATATTATAAACATGGACCTTACAAATCAGCCTGTGAACAGGCGCGGATCCAGGATTTTGCGTTAGAGCTAGGAGGCGCTATTAGATGGCAAGGGGCAACAGTACCGCCGATATCACCAGAATGTCAAGATCAGTGACCGGTTGGGTCACTAAGAATCGGCAAATTTATTGAACCTCATTTTAGCACAAAAATGACTGTAATTTTCGCGCCTGGTGAAATATGAAAGCCTTTGCAACAAATGCTTAAAAGTTATGGCCAAAGTTATTGTTTATAAAAGAAGGTCATACTCCCAAGGTCAAGGAAAAAAATGTTGGTACCATAAGGAAGTTCTTGTTACAAGGAATACATGTGAAATACAAAGTCCTACATGTAACTCCAACCAATCAATAGTAACTGTTATGGACAAGGTTAACTGTTTTAGCGGCTAGACAAACTGCTACATGTATATAGACAAACAGATGGACGGACAGATCAAAAACTGTATGCCCCCAAATCTTCAGCTATGGAGGCATAAAAATATTAGCCCAATCTAAAATATTCGACTTTTCACTGATTGCATGCCTGAATCGTATAGAACCTGTACTTTTTATTCATTTCATTTATTTTTTGACAACATCATTATCCATTGGTGTATAGTAATGAATACAACACACACATATACACACACAACACACACGTGCACATACACACACAACACACACACACACACCCACACACATATACACACACAACACACACATACATCAAAGTATCCAATTAACTAGCATGCACTTAATGCAGTCATAATTATGTGTATGACAGAGTGAAAATTGATATTTATTTTTATCAAATTATTATGATGAATAAATTTATTATTTTCATTATTTATAAAATAATTATTTTCGCAACATATGAGTTTATTCAGTATGAATATATTTTTAGTACTGTTAATTACTTTACAAATAACCATGTCACTCATGTGCATGGATATTTTAAACTTTTATACACTGTAGCTATATTTAGAAGGAATATACCCTTTTCTTGTATTTGATTGGTCAGTTATGGTCAGATGTAGAGAATTTGATCATATTATAATTTGGAGGGAATTTTCCCATTGTGTTATTTAGTTCTTGTGCTGCAGTCTTTGTTGAAAGTGTATTTTCAGTGTCAGTCAGTATCATTGAAATTTTTTTATGTTTCGGGGACTTAGAATCGTTTTTGAAAGGGGGGGCAGACTGAGAAAAAAAATTCAACTTACCTAAAAAAAACTTGAGAAGCCAAAAAAATAAGTTAAAATGAAATGAAATAAAATAAATATTAAAGAAAAATTAAAGGAAAGTTATCCAGACTCGAAAAAATCCTATTTCGTGGGGGGGGGGGGGGGGGGGGGGTTAGATTCAAACTCCTTTCAGTAACAAATTTTATTCATAGTACATTACAACATTACCCTTATTTGACTGTGCTGCAACACAAAGTACAAAGTGGGTGGGCAATCCACCCTTTCAATGAACATTTTCAATAGTAAAAGGTTTTGTTTGGAAAAAAGTGCCCCCACTCCCCGGCCCCCCTGTTGCGACGTGCCTTAGTTTTGTGGAATATTCTCATAATCAGCTCAGTTGATTTGTAAGTACATGTACATATATATTCATTATATTAAATACATATATTAAATATCTATTTCTGTAATAATAATAGAAGTATTCAGACATCTATTTTATTGAAACAGTTGGTCATACTTTATAAGAATAAATATAAGTGTAACATTTTTTTAAAGAAAAACAGGATTAGTAATATAATTACAGATACATTAACACAGTGAACTGAATAGTTGAAGTCAGTGTATTATTTTCTACCTTTAGATATACATGTAATTCCAGGCCCATAGGAAGCAATTTCAGTTTGGGGGGGGGGGGGGGGCACAGCCATACATTTTTCAGTTGACGTTGAGGGGGCACTACCAAAAATTTCCTGACAAGCAAAAAAAAAAAAAAAAAAAAGGTCATCAGACCTTTTTATTGAGGGGGCACAAGCACACATTATCTATGTTTACTATAGTAATCTATATATCGGCAAAATTATTGGGGGGGGGGGGCACGGCCCCTCCGTGCCCACCCCCCTCGGTTCCTACGGCCATGAATTCTCATGATGTAAGAGTAAACTAGCTATTGTTCTACGACCTTTACACCTCAAGTGAGGTAAGCAAAATCTCTTGAGTGTTATGCTTGAAATTTATATATCACGATACATCATAATACTAATGAAACATACGTATGTAAATATTTTCTTTATGAATTCTTGTGAAAAAAGGTTTTACATATTAGTATGCAGTGAAAATAATAATACTTTGTTTGTTAAAATAATGAGAAGATATAGATGATTTTGATAGACACAAATATTTTTGAGTCAAACATACTTAGGCTAGCATTTTCATTTCATTCAGACATATGAACGTAAGAGTTATCTTTCTTACAATGTTGTTTATTATGCTAGCTTTTACTGTGTTACAGGGTCAACTCAATTGAACAACTATATACATATCTATCGTGATTATTCCAAAATAAAAAGGAAACTTTATCTGAGTCTTTCCTACTGTAGCACCCCAAGACCCCGGGTTACACCTGTGCATATCAGTTTTAAGGGTGAACATCGGGATCGAAATACAAAATATTATTTCATGTTCCATGGGTCAGGACGACGCAGACGTGAAAAGGTTGAATGCTAGATCAAGGGAAAAAAAAAGCGAAACAAGCTAAAGCCTATTGATTCACGAGAGAAATCAACATTATTGTGAATACTACACGTATGAAATAGTGGGTAAACAAAGTAAGGTCATATCACGTAGACATATACTGTGTTTTGTTTTGTTCACGGTAAACTGACTAATATGAACAAGGAAGTAGATTTAACTTTTTTTGAAGTTGGAAGTAGACCTAGCCCCGGGATATACATATATTCTTTTTTTATAAATATATATGTAATTTTATTCTTAGAAATAATATTTGATAAAGTTTTAGCCTTGGGGTTTACCTACAATATAAATGTTTTCTTAAACATAATAATGAATAAAGCTTGCTTGGGGTCTGTTTGTGCTGTGGATACTGGCCTGGATAATTCATTTGGTAGAGCACCTGACTAGTGAAGCAGGGGTCCTTTCGGTTCTGCAATACATAGTTTCCTTACTTGTTACACACTTAAAAATAATATGAAAAAAGTCCTAGCCTTGGAGTCTACATAATCTTAAAATAATATTAAAGTCCTAACCCCCTGGGTCCACATACTCTTAAAAAACAACGTGAATAGACAAAATATGACTCTGAGAAGCCCCCCTACTTTCCCTTGGAAATATCAGCTCCTCCATTGAATTGCCAGTCTGGCATGATGTGTGTTAAGAACTGTAACAATGCACTGTGTTCATAAAGAAAAAATGATTTCGTTTCTTAATTTGTTTGCAGTCCAGATTTAAGTTTGTGAAAATCATGACCCTCTGGGTAAAAAGGGATACAATAAGAGATTATAGTTTTACTTAAGAATTAATAGATAAAAATATATACATATTCTTATTTAAAATTTCCTCAATACCAGCAGGGACATAATAAAAGGTTGATATCTAAGGATCCTCAGCCCTCAGGTAAATTCAAGCAGATTAAAGGGACCAAGACCCCGTGGGTAGGGTGGGGCCACATAAGGGGATTTTAGTTTTACACTGTAATACAATGTATTGGAATTAAAAAAAAATCATCCTCTCAAGAACAACAGGGATGTAATTGATACTAGGCAAGCAGAATCAAGTTTGTTCAAATCATGACTGCAGGAGGAGGGGAGGGGGGATTTAGCCACCATAAAGGATCAAAGTTTTACAAAGAAGAATATAGAGGAAGACATCTTTGATTGATTATATTAAAATTCAAGCATACTCAAGATTTGTTTCAGATATAAAAATTTTACATAGGAATATATGAGAAAAATTCTTTGTTTTATTTTTTCCTAATGAACTGCCTGGGCAAGATTATTATATTATTATAAAAAGCAGATAAGAGGGGGGAATTATTTCTTTAATTTATTGGTAGTAGACATTGCACGCATGGGTGAAGAAAAATATGAATGGACTGTCTAATGGTATACAAAAACTAATGGCATTCATGTTTTTTGAAGCATTAAAGAAAAAAAAAATTATTATTTTGGGATAGTGGGATTCTGTTGTTGTTTTTTTTTAGCTCACCTGAGCTGAAAGCTCAAGTGAGCTTTTCTGAGTTTAAATTGTAAAAATAAAGGGCCAAGTTCCCTTATAAGGGGAGATAATCAAGAAAAGACAAAAATAAGGTGGGGTCATTAAAATATCTTCTTCTCGAGAACCACGCCGCGAATGACCCAATTCGATAAAAAATGGGTAGCAACTGTTCCTTCGCCATGCGCTCAGCACTTTGAAGTGAAAGTTGCGGGTCCTTCGGATGAGACCTTGAAATCCGAGGCCCCGTGTCACGGCAGGCGCTGGCACGATAAAGATCCCTCACTTCTCAATGGCCCTGAGTGCCGAGTAAAGGTCAAAATTTGAAGCCCTTCATCGGTATATGGTAACGTCTCTATATGAGTGAAAAATTCTCGAATGGGACGTAAAACAACATACAATCAATCAATCAATCTCAAGAACCACTGGGCCAGAAAAGCTGAAACTTATGCGGAGGCATCCTGGGATAGTGTAGATTCTAAATTGTTCAAATCATGGCCCCCGGGGGTAGGGCAGGGCCACAATAGGGAATCCAAGTTTTACATTGAAATATGTAGGAAAAATCTTTAAAAATCCTCTTCTCAAGAACAACTGGGCCAGAAAAGCTGAAACTTATGCGGAAGCATTCTGGGGTAGTGTAGATTCTAAATTGTTAAAATCATGACCCCCGGGGGCAGGGCGGGGCCACAAGTATAACAAGGGGGGGGGGGGAATCTGGTAAAGAACAGCATGACCAAAGTTACTCAGGTGAGCGATGTGGCCCATGGGCCTCTTGTTTTGTAATGCTAATAGATTTTGAGCTCGAATACTGTTCGTTATATCCACATATTTCATCTCAGCAGCATCAGGTAGTGCATATAATTCCTGCATTATCCATATCAATTCCTGCATTATCTATATCAATTCCTGCATTATCCATATCAATTCCTGCATTATCCATATCAATTCCTGCATTATCTATGTCAATTCCTGTATTATCTATATCAATTCCTACATTATCTATATCAATTCCTGCATTATCTATGTCAATTCCTGTATTATCTGTATCAATTCCTGCATTATCTATATCAATTCCTGCATTATCCATATCAATTCCTGCATTATCCATATCAATTCCTGTATTATCCATATCAATTCCTGTATTATCTATATCAATTGCTGCATTATCTATATCAATTCCTGTATTATCTATATCAATTCCTGCATTATCCATATCAATTCCTGCATTATCCATATCAATTCCTGCATTATCTATTTCAATTCCTGCATTATCCATATCAATTCCTGCATTATCTATGTCAATTCCTGTATTATCTATATCAATTCCTGCATTATCCCTATCAATTCCTGCATTATCTATGTCAATTCCTGTATTATCTATATCAATTCCTGCATTATCCATATCAATTGCTGCATTATCTATATCAATTCCTGCATTATCCATATCAATCCCTGCATTATCTATATCAATTCCTGCATTATCTATATCAATTCCTGCATTATCTATATCAATTCCTGCATTATCTATATCAATTCCTGTATTATCTATATCAATTCCTGAATCAACAAAGAAAGAAACATTTTATTGTTAAAATTGTAATCATTAAGATACTTGTTTATCAACCCTACAGATTAGGCACAATAGCATTATCTCTACCTGTACACTAGAGTTTTACAAGTACACACACTCTCTCTCTCTCTCTAGGTTAATGTTCTGATTTTATTTTGACAGATTTCTCAGGATGTGGTGTGCAGTTACATGTCATCATTAAGAGGATGAAGAAATCAACTTTGTTACAGGTTTTTATAAGCAATAAATAAAAATATACTAGAAAAAATAAATGTATACATTACATTTGTAGATGCACATTCGAAAATATTGACATCATGGACTTGCTTTGTAAAACAAAAAATGGTTAAAACAGTCAAGATTAAAGCTGTCATTTGAATTTTGTAATTTCAAAATCAAGACATGATTTTGTCATTATCAAATAAAGTAAATTAAAATATATGGGTTTTTTTTAAGAATGATTAGTTATACATGTAATGTTCTTATTTTCTTTCCCCAGGACACAGAAACAAGATGAACAGAAGTCATGCAGTTTTTACCAGACACAAGAATTTAATATGGTACAGAGGTATTTCTTTGTTACTCTATATAACTGTGTCAACACACACGGTAGCCACCATACAATGTACCTATCTAAAGAGTGTGGCATTCCATAAAAAAGTCTACATTTAATATTCCACAACTTTGTAACTTATGAATTAATATACATGTATATGAAAGAAAGCAGAGTTTATTGTGATTATATTTTTGTATATTGTATACATGTAGTTGAAACATTTGACTTGAAATGGTAGACATGATTTTAAATGATAATCTGTAAGAATTAATTAAAATCTTCAGTATTTTAACATCAATACATTGTATGTTTTAATCCATCAATATTATATTTTAGATAGACTACATTGTGAATACTTGGACCCTGCTGTTCACAGGGACATAAATAGAATTCTGTCCCCAGTGTAAAAACAAGGTTTTTATATTTGTGTTAATTTTATCAATGTTTATTAATTGTAAGCAGAGACAAGTTATTGTTCTAGATTTAATTATATGAAATGTATATATAAAGATAAAATATTGATCTAAACATTTAATTCTGTGTAAACAGAGACCTATTATAGGCTATTATTGATGTAGATAATTCTAGTACAATATTGTAATTTACAGAGAGATCTCCCTGACTGAGGAAATCAACACGGGATTCTGTTATAAAACCACAGGATAAAGATGAAATAAATGTCTGCTGTCAATGATGTATAGATTTGTGTTACAGAAATCTGTCACAGTGCCAGGTGTTAGTTATTGTAGTCACATCTCCCGTGTATCATCAGACCGGGTCTGGATCAGTGATTGCTATAACAATCTCATCTTGACAAACACAGCAGGGGATAAACTACATCACCTGACAGATATACGTAGTGGTTATAGTGGAGGACACACTGTGAATAATGATGGTGATTTAATTTATATAGACAGACAAGGTAACATCAACAAACTGTCTACAGAGAACACCGTAAAGACTACATTAATAAAGTACAACACAGAACCATGGGTACCACAGTGTGTCTACAGCTCCCCCTCCACTGGAGACCTGCTGGTCGGGATGTATAGAGATGATACAGATACAGGCAAGGTAGTGCGGTATAACTCCACAGGAGAACACATCCAGACCATACAGCACGACAACAACACAGGTCAGGTACTGTATAGTAAACCTATCTACATCACAGAGAACCGCAATGGAGATGTTATTGTGTCTGACTATTACCGTGATGCTGTAGTGGTGACAGATCGGGGAGGAAGTCATCGCTTCTCCTACAGAGGACCTCCATCAGGATCAGGACTAGATCCACGTGGAATCTGTACTGACGCGCTGTCACACATCCTGGTGTGTGATCTATACACCAACTCAGTACAGATGTTAGACAGGGACGGTCACTTCCTGTCACAGATACTGACATCACCACACGAGATAGACAAACCACAGGGCCTGAGTTATGATGTTAACACACAACTACTGTGGGTAGGGTCATACTACAACAACACAGTCAACATATACAGAGTGGTAGATACACACTCTCTGACTGGTAAGTAATAATGTAGTTTGTTTAATTGTATTGTATAATTATGATATCACAACAACATAATAACTACATTATATTATAATTAGGGATGTCATATAAGAAGAACTATAGAGAATTGTGATATATAAACCTGTATACAAGAGTGAATAGAAAATTGAAATATTTAGTTTGATTATGAATTTTTATTGTACATTTTTTTAAATTATATAAGTAATAATGATGAATTATTTATGATTAGATAAAAAAGGAATAAAGTATTCAAATATTTAATTAAGTGTTTGTGTAATTAACTAGATTAGACTATATTACTCAGACATTGTGTTTAAATATAAAATGTTGACTCTTTTTCCCTGTTTATTCCATTATGTTTTCTCAGAAACTTCATACAAAAAGTATATACACAGATGAATGACTTAAAAGTTATAAGAATAGATCTATATGAATTGTCTTCTTACAACGTAAGACTGAAATGTAATATAATTTATACTTGGTATAATGGTATATCGTGTTGTTATTGTATTAACTTTCCAATTTCTATGGTGGATTTTGTGTTTCCTTTGGGTTAGATATACATGATAGGTATAATCTGATTAAAGATGCAGAATTACATTAATTTAGAGTTCAGTATGATGAAGTACTGAAAAATAAGGAAGGATTTTATTTTAAAGTGGAGGATGAAGTTTAATACTTCATTCTAGTTTGTTAGCTAATACTTAATTGTTTATCTCTTTAATTACTTGTACAAAATTCCTATGGGCCTACTATAAAATTTAAGGTATTTAGTCAAGTTAAGGTAATTCTACATTCAGAACAGATGACATTTTGTACTGATGTTGACAGTTAGATATAGACACCATTGACATTAACACAGCTCTGTCTAGGAATGTTGTGTATTTCTGTAGCAGGTGTTCAGTAAATCTACACTGTGTACCGGGTTGACATTCTCCATGTTCATTTAATATTTTGTGTTTGAAAACTGACATCAATGAAACAGTATAAGAATGATCAGGTCAGAAAACAACAAAAAATAAGATTAAGACTTTCAGGTGCTGCTATATTAATTTTTACATGGAATTCGAATGCATTGATCATTTCCATCTACCTATTGGAAAGGGGAATAACTCTTACCTTTATTTAAAGTTGAGAAAAGAAATTTGGGTTATTCCCCTTTTCATTGTAAGATTTGGCCACAAATAAAAGAACAATTCTTGCAATTAAAAGCATTAACAAACCTTGCATCTGCATTTCATAGAGATTTTTTTGACCAAAGAAAATATTTTTTTTCTGTCTAATCAAGTTTTATGATATGTTAAGTAAGGGAAAAAAACTGAATAGGAATGATTAATCATTAGAAACAAAGGAAGTCTTTGTTGATAAAGATTCGTCATGATTTTTGAATGCCTCGATATCACTTACAGAAAAAAATTGGGGGGGGGGGGGTTAAAAAACTTGACGTTACATTTAATAAATCAGATACGAAGTAAACCTTGAATTGCTTGTTGTATATGTTTATTTTTGCATTTTTATCATTTATTTCTAAAAATGATTTTATCCAATTTGAGGAAAGAGTTTTTCCTCAATTCAAAAGGAGGTATTTAAAAAAAAATTGCTGTGAACACAAAGGTTGCATATGTTCTGAACACAGGTCACACAGGCAAGGTCTAGGTTATTGGTAGCTAAAGTACATGTAAATGTAACCCCTTGTGCCTTGATTGTTAATTTGTTATTGGTAGCTAAAGTACATGTAAATGTAACCCATTGTGCCTTGATTGTTAATTTGTTATTGGTAGCTAAAGTACATGTAAATGTAACCCATTGTGCCTTGATTGTTAATTTGTTATTGGTAGCTAAAGTACATGTAAATGTAACCCCTTGTGCCTTGATTGTTAATTTGTTATTGGTAGCTATAGTACATGTAAATGTAACCCATTGTGCCTTGATTGTTAATTTGTTAGGGAGAAAACAGATAGATTTTGTCTGTATCTGAATAGTGATGTGGCAAATAACTTGAACTTTGATTTTTGATCAATACCATTTGTTGAACATGGTCATATCTATGCACAGTATTCTAATAGGGTACATTGATTTTGTTGAGAAGTCACCTCCTACAGTTTTAAGATTAAAGAATAGAAAGCTTTTATAATAGATGACGCTTACATTTACAAGAGTTGTTTCCCTTTTCGGGGTCTAAATGTCTATATTTATTATGTTTTTTGTTGTTACATACTTTGCCAATAAAGGTATGGGAAAGAATTGTCAAAAGACATACAACTTGTAAATATTTAATTTATTATCATGATTATAGGTACATGTAAATTATATGTAAAGGATAAGTGAGAAAGCTGAGTTTTTTGATGACAAAGGGAAATAAATCTTGCAAATGAAAATTTGTCTACTCATGTGAGAAGCATCAGTACTGCTCACACAAAATAAACCTGGTTTGTTGTCACATTGACAGATTTTTCACTTGATTGTCACTGTCAAGGCACTTTGTGTATTCCAACATGAGGAATGCAGTTTGGTATAATTATGGGAAAAGTAAAGCACCATATTTAAAACCTTCTTAATTTTGAAGGATGATGAATTATTAACAGTATTAACACTATTCTTCTCACAGGCCTTCATTGTGAGGACATCAAATGCAAAAAGCATCCCATAAGTTCCATTGACCAGTTCTGTACCCCGTGTGGTGTTCCCTTGTGTGTGGAGTGTACCAGCTCTGAGGATCACAGCAGACATGATCTTAGAAATATAGAGGACTTGTTTAAAAAGATTCACAGGATAGAAGGTAAAAGTTTAAAACTGTTAATGTATGCTTGTTCAGGATTTTATTATACCCCCGCTTGAAAAGTGGGAGGGTATATAGTGATCGGGGTGTCCGTCCGTCCGTCTGTACGTCCGTCTGTTATGCTTTGGGGTACTTATCTCTTATCCACAACTCCTCTTATACCATGGAATGAAATTTAATGAGACTTTCACAGAATCTTTGTTACATAGTGCCATTGTGCACCTCCTATTTTACTTTTTGATCTGACACTTATTTCGGGTCTCCCAGGGCAAAACATGGACTTAGCCATTATAATCATATGGGAGGCGGGGGTATCATTTAGTGAGCTCAGTGCTCACAATACCTCTAGTTTTTCTAGTCAAGTAAATAAAATTTGATTATTTTGATAAAATTTTGATATGCCACCACCATTTTCAGGTTATCTTGAGTCCTCTCTGCATGTTTTTGTCATAGTTAAAAGAAGGCCACCTGCCACATCTGTTAAATGTTTATCTGTTGTCTAATGAAATCCAAATGGAGCAATTACAACCAAACTTATTCTTTAGTATAAGAAAATTTTGTTTGAATAAAGAGACTTGTAAACAATATAGAGATGTACGTTGTGTATACTTTTTGTAATAAAACATCTAAACAAAAAATAATAGGACCGGACACTTTGAGATGAGTGGATGGGGATAAGAAATTTTAGGTTTATTTAAGAAATAAAGTCCGCATTTTTCGTAAATGTTGCAGGATAATCTCCGAGGTCGAGAAATGTTGTTTGAAATATAAAAGCGGAGGCGTTAGCGGTGGCTTTTATATTTCATCAACATTTCGAGACCAAGGAGGTTATCCTGCATCATTCACAACAACAAGGACTTTATTAGGGCCCTGCTCTGTGGGCGCCCTATAGTGATCAGTCTGTCTGTCTGTCCATCCGTCCGTCTGTCCGTCCGAGATCTCTTGTCCAGAGCATATCTTCTCTCTCCTTGGCCCAATCTGCCTCATACTTCACCCACAGAGTGCCTTTGGGTAAAGGGTGTGCAGTGACCTTGAACCATGTTTCTAGGTCAAAGGTGAAGGTCATAGCAGAATTATATGAAAAATCCATATCCGGAGCATATCTTCTTTCCTCTTGGTCCAATGTGGCTCATACTTCACTCACAGAGTGCCACTGGACAATGGATGTGCAGTGACCTTGAACGAAGTTTTTTAGGTCAAGGGTCAAGGTCAAAAATAGCCTCTCTGTTTAAATTTCTGTTTGGAGCATATTTTCTCTTTCCTTGGCCCAATCTTCCTCATACTTCACCCACAGAGTGCCTTTGGGTAAAGGGTGTGCAGTGACCTTGAACCATGTTTTTAGGTGTAAGGTTAAGGTCATAGAATTATATGAAAAATCCTTGTCTGGAGCATATCTTCTCTCCTCTTTGTTATATGTGGCTCATACTTCACTCACAGAGTGCCACTGGTCAATGGATGTGCAGTGACTTTAAACGAAGTTTCTAGGTCAAGGGTCTAGGTCAAAAATAGCCTCTCTGTTTAAATTTCTGTTTGGAGCATATTTTCTCTTTCCTTGGCCCAATCTTCCTCATACTTCACCCACAGAGTGCCTTTGGGTAAAGGGTGTGCAGTGACCTTGAACCATGTTTCTAGGTGTAAGGTTAAGGTCATAGCAGAATTACAGTGTATATGAAAAATCCTTGTCTGGAGCATATCTTCTCTCCTCTTGGTCCAGTGTGGCTCATACTTCACTCACAGAGTGCCACTGGACAATGGATGTGCAGTGGCCTTGAACGAAGTGTCTAGGTCAAGGGTCTAGGTCAAAAATAGCCTCTCTGTTTAAAATCTTTGTTCAGTGCATAATTTCTTTCCCTTAAGTCCAGTCAGCCTCAAACTTTACCAATTGACTTAGGGTACAGAACATTTGTGATTTTCCTTTCATATTTTGATAGTGGATATGCAACAATTTTCATAGAGGATATGCAACATTCATGATTTTTGTGCAATTTTTAGCTCACCTGAGCTGAAAGCTCAAGTGAGCTTTTCTGATCACTTTTTGTCCGTCGTCCGTCTGTCCATCTGTCCGTCTGTCTGTCCGTCCGTCTGTAAACTTTTCACATTTTTGACTTCTTCTCCAGAACCACTGGGCCAATTTCAACCAAACTTGCCATGAAGCATCCTTGGGTAAAGGGGATTCAAGTTTGTTCAAATGAGGGGCCATGCCCTCTTTCAAGGGGAGATAATTAGGAATTACTGAAAAAATAGTGGCATCATTTAAATATCTTCTTCTCAAGAACCACTAGGCCAGGAAAGATGAAACTTATTTGGAAACATCCTCAGGTAGTGTAGATTCAAGTTTGTTCAAATCATAACCCCCGGGGGTAGGGTGGGGCCACAATGGGGGATCAAAGTTTTACATAGAAATGTATAGGAAAAGATCTTTAAAAATCTTCTTCTTAAGAACAGCAAAGCCATGATTGGTCATATTTATATGGAAGCATCCTCAGGTAGTGTAGATTCAAGTTTGTTCAAATCATGACCCCCAGGGGTAGGGTGGGGCCACAATGGGGGATCAAAGTTTTACATAGAAATATATAGGAAAAGATCTTAAAAAATCTTCTTCTTAAGAACAGCAAAGCCAAGATTGGTCATATTTATATGGAAGCATCCTCAGATAGTGTAGATTCAAGTTTATTCAAATCATGACCCCCAGGGGTAGGGTGGGGCCACAATGGGGGATCAAAGTTTTACATAGAAATATATAGGAAAAGATCTTTAAAAATCTTCTTCTTAAGAACAGCAAAGCCATGATTGGTCATATTTATTTGGAAACATCCTCAGGTAGTGTAGATTCAAGTTTGTTCAAATCATGACCCCCGGGGGTAGGGTGGGGCCACAATGGGGGATCAAAGTTTTACATAGAAATATATAGGAAAAGATCTTAAAAAATCTTCTTAAGAACAGCAAAGTCATGATTGGTCATATTTATTTGCAAGCATCCTCAGGTAGTGTAGATTCAAGTTTGTTCAAATCATGACCCCCGGGGGTAGGGTGGGGCCACAATGGGGGATCAAAGTTTTACATAGAAATATATAGGAAAAGATCTTTAAAAATCTTCTTCTTAAGAACAGCAAAGCCATGATTGGTCATATTTATATGGAAGCATCCTCAGGTAGTGTAGATTCAAGTTTATTCAAATCATGACCCCCAGGGGTAGGGTGGGGCCACAATGGGGGATCAAAGTTTTACATAGAAATATATAGGAAAAGATCTTAAAAAATCTTCTTCTTAAGAACAGCAAAGCCATGATTGGTCATATTTATATGGAAACATCCTCAGGTAGTGTAGATTCAAGTTTGTTCAAATCATGACCCCTGGGGGTAGGGTAGGGCCACAATGGGGGATCAAAGTTTTACAAACGAATATATGGGGAAAAAATCTGCTGCTCAAGAACAGCAAAGCCATTTGTTATATTGATATGAAAGCATCATTAGGTAGTTTAAAATTCAACCTCCACCCCCCACGCCCCCCACCCCCCATAAACTTTGCAATACTGAACTGATTTTTGCTTTTTTTCCTAGCCAATGTGCTCAGGTGAGCGATGTGGCCCATGGGCCTCTTGTTAGGTCACCTGAGTCACTGTGCGGTGTGCGTCGTGTGTTAACATTTAAACATCTTTAGCTTCTTCTCTGAAACTGCTTAACCAATTTCAACCAAATTTGGCATATAGCATCTATCGGTGAAGGGGAACAAAAATTGTGAATTTCATAGACCCTGCCCCCCTGGGGCCTGAGGGGTGGGACTAAAACCACCAAAATAATGCAATCTTTAAAAATTTTCTTCTTTACTCATGGACATCAAGCAGTCAAACTGTTGGCATCATTGTAATAAGCATTGAGCCCTCTACCAAAATTGTGAAATTCATGGCCCCAGGGTCAGGGGTTCTGGTGCTAGGGTGGGGCTATATAGATCATATAGTGAAAGTGCATTATTTCTTAGAAAATCTTCTTCTTTGCTCCTGGGTATTAAATAAACTAACTAAGTACATAGTTATAAAGAGCAAGAGTGCCTCTTCCAAAATTGTGAAATTCAGGGCCCCTGGGTCAGGGGTTCTGGTGTTAGGGCGAGGCTCTATTGATTATATATTGAAAAATGCATCAATTCTATGAAAATCTTCCTCTCTGCTCCTGGGTATCAAATAAAGTAACTAAGTACATAGTTATGATGAACAAGAGTGCCTCTTCCAAAATTGTGAATTTCATGGCCCCAGGGTCAGGGATTCTGGTGTTAGGACGGGGCTCTATTGATTATATAGTGAAAATGCATTAATTCTTTGAAAATCTTCTTCTCTGCTTCTGGGTATTAAATAAAGTAACTAAGTACATAGTTATGAAGAGCAAGAGTGCCTCTTCCAAAATTGTGAATTTCATGGCCCCAGGGTCAGGGGTTCTGGTGTTAGGGCGGGGCTCTATTGATTATATAGTAGAATTGCGTTAATTCTTTGAAAATCTTTTTCTCTGCTCCTGGGTATTAAATAGACTAACTAAGAACATAGTTATGGTTACATGTAGCATGGCTGCCTTTTCAGAAATTGAATTTCATGGCCCTTGGGTTGGGGTTCTGGTGTTAGGGCTGGGCTCTATTGATTATATAGTAAAATTACATTAATTCTTTGAAAATCTTCTTCCCTGCTCCTGGTTATTAAATAAACTAAGTACATAGTTATGATGAGCATGGCTGCCTCCTCAGAAATTATGAATTTCATCGCCCCTGGGTCAGGAGTTCTATTGATAATATAGGGAAAAGGCATGAATTCTTTCAAAATCTTCTTCTCTGCTCCTGGGTATTTTTCAAGCAAAGGAAGTCCATGGTTATGATAAGGAAGAATGCCTCTTCCAAAATTGTGAAATTCATGGCCCCTGGGTCAGGGGTTTTGGTGAGGGTGGAAGGGGGGGGGAGCTCTATTGATTATATAGTGAAAATGCATAATTTCTTTTAAAATATTTTTTCTACTACTGGTT